AACCATCAGTTGTAATTACACATTTGTCGTCACGCCGCTCCGCTGGTGTGACGTGGGTTTTTGCAAAGGTGCTTGAGCGTCTTCGAAAAGCATGGAAGCTATTCTGCTGTGCTAAGGAAAAACGCCGTACGAGCCTTCAGGCGTTGCCAAATTTCCCCTGAAAATCCACTAATTTTCAGGAAATGTTTTTGGATATATGTCTACCATTTCTCAGACGATTTTGTTCGCAATTTCATCTAAAGTTCCTGAAAATTTCAAGGAAAAATATTCAATATTTCCCTCAAAAATAAACATTTTATCTAAAGAAATTTGGCAACTCGCGAATGTTAATACGGCGTTCTTCCTTAGCACGGCAGTATTGGTCCGGTAGTATATTTGAAAAACAACGCATAGCCCATCACAACACTCTGATGAATCAGCGTTTTTTATAAAAAACATTCCATCGTAAAGTTATCCTTTCTGATAACGGAGTCCACTCAGGGAATGCTCGCTAAATTACGCTAAATATTCTTGACGGAGGAAAGGGATTAAGAGATTGAAAAATCGCTTGAAGTCATTTACGGTCCAGTGGTGAAGCGTGTATGATTATCGATATTTCCCCATTTGAAGCCGTTGTAAAGAATCGATTTATCGAGGTGTGCGAACACGCTGTTTGTCGATCCTTTTCCATAGGTTTGAACGGCCTAGAATAATCGATTTATCGCAGAGCACGCCACTCCACGGTTGCGGAAAATCCTTGCTACGACAAAAGTGGCTTGATACTTAGCCCCGTTTTAAAACAACGTATGCGCCATTAGTTTCCCTATGCACATAAGTGTTTTTTCAGATGAGCCAGAATTTATAGCTCAAAATTGCAAAATGCAGTCCAATTATACTTTTGTGAATTGAGCAAGTGCAAATTGTTTTCAGTCTTGAATCGGAACTCAGACGATCAGAGCTGTTTATTGCCGTAGATCTCCGGCCAATGGGGGACGCCAGTTTACAGTTTCGGATGGACGACAACTCCTACCTAACCAGTCAGACGTCTGCACGTCATCTGGAGTTTCGCTTGCATAAACGTTTTGTATTTTATTGTAATTCTTCCCGTCTGAAGGCCTTGTCTCCACGGGACGTTTTCATAAGATTTGTCTCAAGTTCGAATCGCAGGAATGAAACTTCTGGGATTTTTTCCACGGAACGGGGCTCAGACAGTCCTGCGACTAGTTTGCGCGGGAAGATAAATTAGTTAAAGTCGAGTATTTAACCGGGATTAAAATAATAATTGCACTCAATTGACAATTAGACACGTTATTTTAACTAAACAAACATTAACAATGTAGTAATGAATAAAATATCGCACAACTCGTTTCCACTTCTTCTTCTTCTCTCAGTGGGTCCAACGGGTACTGGGAAAAATATTGATTAACTCAATATTTTTCCCAACTTCGTAAGTGGGATTTTTCCCTGGGACAAATCTCGTGAAACGGCTCGCGGAGACAAGGCCTTAGAATGTAAACCAGGCCTTCGGCTTACAGTCCACCCTTTTCCCGTTCAAACTTGCAAATGCCGGAGGAAAGTCATCAGAAAAAAAAACCTGAATAAATGATAAAAAAACCATGGATCTTACAAAATAAATTCCTTAAATTATAATTTTCTCATTTTTGTGTTACAGGTCCGGCTGATCTCCCTTGGAGTGTGTCTGCCGCAAACATGCACGCCAAGCGATATCAAGACCCTCGTGGAGCCGCGAGACACCGGGAAGAAATCCCCGCATTCCATAAAGATCCTCAACGTGAGGCCGGTCCCTGGACCTTACAGGATATTAGACGATCCCACCTTCCAACTTATGGCGTAAGTTTCAATTCTGACAGTAGTGCAAATATTTTGAAGATTCAGTGGCCGTGACATTTTTTGGCAAAACGTATCAACGGACCTGGGTGTTTCCTTGGGAATTTTTAAGACAACCTCTTGCGGTACGCTCACAAAATGTAAACATTACGAAAGAGAAAGAAAAAGATTAGTATCGTCAGATAATGAATATGCTCGGTTTTAAAATTGACCGATTCAGACGAGCACTCAAGCTAGCGATGAAAATTCACACCTGAGTACTTCCGTGCTACGTAAAAACGCCGTATGAGCCTTTAGACCTTGCCAAATTTCGTCGCGTTAAACATGTTTTTTTTTTCCTTCGAAAAGATGTACGTATTTCTCTTTGAAATTGTCGAATATTTTAGATTAAATTGCAAAGAAAATCGTCCGGAAAATTTAAAGAAAAATATTCGCAATTTTCCTGGTAAATTGGATTGTTATTAGAGGAAATATGGCAATGTCTGAAGGCGCGTACGGGGTTCTTTCTTAGCACGGCAGAGTAATGTTACGCAGTGGCGTGGCGTGCTTCGCGATCTATCGATTAATCGGCCATTTAAACCTATGGAAAAGTATCGATACACAGGGTGTTCGCAGCGAACACCTTAAGAATCGATTATTTACCACAGCTTAAAATGGAGAAATATCGATAGATCGCAAAGCACGCCACGCCACTGTACAACATCTTGGACAGGGTTTCCGATGCACGCAAAATTGACACTGATTAAGTCTAACTAATAAAGCGTGGGTGCCCGTTATTTCTGTCGGTACCCGTTAAAAGGCAAAGAAGCCGCAGAAACAATACTGCTGTGCTCAGGAAGAACGCCGTATGAGCCTTCAGACATTGTCAGATTTCCACCAATAAAAAAACCAATTTACCAAGAAAATTATGAATTTCCTTCAACCGATTTTTCAGACAATTTCGTTCAGAATTTAATCTAAAACCTCTGAACACTTCGAGGGAAAATATGCATGACTTACCTTAAAATTAAACGTTTTGTCGGGGGAAATTTGGCAACGCCTTCAAGCTCATACGGTGTTCCTCCTCGTCACGGCAGAATACATCGCAATTGCTCGTGTGGAAACAGAGGTACACTTAATTTCAGAGGTGTCACAAATTTATTCGATTCTGAGGCGTCGGTTATTGAGCAATGCGGTTTTTCGGGGAGCGTGTGTTCGTTTGATAACGGGCTGATTTATGGCGCGATAGGTGTCAAGTACGTTCGAGGTGTCAAAAATTCGCAATGCTTGAATTTTATGACTTTGGTTAGCTGTTGGATCTCGGCAAGAAGAGAGTCTTGATACGGTGAATCAACCGTAGTCGACATGAATGTTTTTTTTTTTAAAACAAAACAATGGAAGATTACGCATGAGAGATTGGAACCTCTACCTTTCGTTCCGTATGCTTTCGGACGTAGGATTTCGTTCCTTGTGTCATCGAAGATGAGCTCGGAGAATTTGCACGCAAATTTTGTATTGCTTCAACTGAAAGTGCTTGAAGAGCTGATTTCACAATATTTCTTGTAATTTTTTTCTAACATGAAAAATGCTTTAAAAATATATTTAAAAGTCAGAAAATGCACCGCCTAGTGACGTCATCTGGCGGCATTTCCCATTTAAACACATGTATTTTAGCAGAATCGGTGATTTTGTCATATCTCCTCTTATAATTGCTCAATTTATGAATGAAGGGTATTTCCGTGTTCAGTTCACTCAGTCGATTCCACTTAGACACGAAATTCATCAAATTTCAGACCCTCGCAAATTCTCCATTTTTCAAATAAAAACCTTACCCGCAATCCCGCCAATATACATTGGCCCCTGGTGAAAATAGCCGAGGCGCAAGGCAGTTTTCGTTTAGAGGCCTTCATTTTTTTGAAAATGCAGTTCAGAAATTAACAAAGCACAAATATTTACATCCAGGAGTTGGTACCAGGGAAACCAAAGCGCCTACATTTCTTTGTGTATGCAATTCAGACACCTTCAGAGCACGAACAGTTGCATAAGACAACGCAAACATTCTATATTGTGTCCTATAAGGGTGGAATTTGAATGAATCGAAATGAAGTATCGTGCTTCCCTGCTCGTGTCATCGGACTGGTGAATTTATTACTATTGAGCCTCTGCACACTGTAATATGGATTACTTTTTGCGAAAAGTATATATAATTTTTTGCATGATTTCAGTCATTTAATTGCAAGGAATGTAAGTTGCACACTCCTACGAACATTTGAATCCTCTTGGTTCCTTTTTGAAAATGTAATCCATATGTTTTATAGGACATTTGAAACGTTTGTCATAACCAAAAAGATCTAAAAGGGCTTTTATGATATTTTTTAGCTCTTCACTGAAGCATACAAGTTTGAACAGACTCTTACAACGTTCTTGGGGGAACACGTTGATGAGCAATATAAACATTTCTTCTACAGGGATCTTGGAAAAAATTAACTATACGGAATGGTCGGAACCGTACATCACTTGTCGATGGAGTCTAGAAAAGCACGCATTTTGCTAAAAATAATCAAAATGCTGGCTTGTAAATTAATGGAAAAGAACAATATTTTTGCACGAAATTTTCAGATAATACTCTCATTCTAGATAAGGGAACTATTATATTTAAATACAGTGAATAGTAAAAAGAAGACGCATTTCAAGAGGAAATAATAATCACCTCTTTGTGTGCTCTAAAATAAAGAAGTAACAAAAAATTTTCACCGCAGTCACAAAAATTCTTTGTTTTTCAAAATTTTAAAACTTTCCTTTCTGTGTGTGTTAGAAAGAATCCAAAAAGAATTATCAGCCCCTGGATAAGAGGCAGAAAAGGAACCTAAACAAAGTATGCGTAAGAATTCACCAGTTGGAGATCATTAAGCAACGAAAACGAGAAGAATTAATCCTTTGATGACTTTAAACTTTAAAAACATTCGTCAAGCCGCACATCCTGACTCCGCACTGCTATGGAAAAACACCGTATGAGCCATCAGGCGTTGCCAAATTTCCTCCGGCAAATCACGAATTTTCAGGACAATTTGTGAATGATCCTCTGCCGATTCATCAGAGGATTCCGTTCGTAATTAGGACGTATTTCTGCCGAACGGAACTATGTGCATTTAGTCATGAGCCCTGAGACCCATAAGAATATATACACAACAGGGCTCACTTCATAATGCACATAGTTCTGTTTGGTAGAAATACGTCCATTTGATCCAAAAAGTCTGCAAATTTCAAAGGATAGTATTCATAAGCTTCTCCAAAAATAAGTACTGTTAGAGAGGAAATTTGGCAACATTCGAATGCTCCTACGACGTTTTTACTTACCACGGCAGCACAGAGGTTATCTGCCGTGCTAAGGAAGAACGACGTATGAACATTCGAGAGTTACCAAATTTTCTCCGATAAAATGTTTATTTTTGAGGAATGTTATGAATATTTTCCCTCGAAATTTTCAGGAGCTTTAGATGGAATTGCGAACAAAGTTGGAAGGAAAATATTCACAAGTTTACCAGGAAATCCGTGTTCAATTAGAGGAAATTTGGCAACGCCTGAGCGTTCATACGGCGTTTTTCCTCAGCACGCCAGTTATCTACCTTGGTGTAAGCTTTCGATGGTAATACGAAAAAGCCCAGCATCCACACGGGTCAGGATTTGGGTCACAAGGCCACTCAAGCGCAATATGCCTCTCTCCCCTTCCCTTCCTCCATGCGTTGGCCTACTGGACCTAATCAGAGAAAATTACTACCAAATGAAATAGTGGATTAAACGCTAACGGGTGATTCCTGTGAGGTGTTGAGTCCTGCATAAGGAACGTCTTCACGAAATGTATACGAAACGTCCTTATCAAATACTGACCAAAACGTTGGCCCGAAAATGACGAAAAGAAAGCTTTATCCGATTTGCGCAGTAAAATGAAGTAGAATCTTCCCTTCTCTGAACACAGATTCATCACAACGAATTTGATCGGATTTTTCCTCAGTCTTTCACTTTGTCGAGTTGAATTTAAGTGCCCACAAATTGTGGTTTCATTTCGGTGGTCTACCGACAATTTCATCTCCGACCGCAGTCACCGTTGCCAATTCTGCGGTGCAGTTCATGAAAAGGCGACAAATCCTGGGTTCTGATCAAGATTGGTGCGGGTGTTTAGTCTATACTCGATGCTTTAAATCGAGAATAATACTGAAAGCCCTTTTTTTTTAAAAAAAAAAGAATAATAATAAATAAAAAATTAGAATAATTTGGCATGTGTATAAAACGTTTGTACGCCCCTTACCTACCTTTTTAACCTGGAGGCTAAAATTACAAACGATGACTACCGTGGTAGATTGCAGTTTTATGAAAAGCACTATTTGTGATTAAGTTAGTGGTAATGTGGGAATCAAATTGTTCAGCACAGAGAAAAAACCGGATTGGGTAAAAAAAATATCGACTTATTTTTTTTTTTCAAATATTCTCAAGTACAATGGATTATAAATCTCAGCCCGTCATTTGCGTAATCGGAGATGTAGTAAGCGTTTGAAGTTAATCGTTTTGAAAAATGGGAACAGCACCAGCAAACTTTGACAGCGTCGTTCTCAAATTACACATGTTTTGTCCTTAAATTTAGCATCGTTGTCACAGGCCGAAGAGCCAATGCCTCCAGAATTTTTGGGTGGTTTTTTAGCCAAATGATGCGGACTCATTCCCTCTAAAAGTCGTGGCATACTGCCGTGCCAAGGAAAAACGCCGTATGATCCTTCTCCATATTTTCTTGGACCAGAAAAGAATTTCCTTGAAAAACTGTGGTCTAATTTTTCGGACAATTTCATTCACCTCAAGGCACATATTCTGCCTAACTTCGTCACGTTTCAATGAGTGGAAATTGAACGTATTTCTATAAAACGGAACTATGTGCATTATGACGTGAGCCCTGCCACGCATATATTCTCATGGGTCTCAGGACTTATGTCTTAATGTACATAGTTCCGTTTGGCAGAAATACGTCCAATTATATAGCAAACTTCTCATTTCATAAAATTTAGGAAAATATATTTCCTGTTTCGCTCGAGGAAATACATCGGTGGAATTTTCTGTTGCAGTTTTGTTATGATCGTGTTGATTGCTCTCATGGTTGTCGGTTCCATCTACGAGACGGTTTTAGAGCGAAGAATGGCTTCCATCCGAAGAGAAAAACTTGCCGTCAGAAGCAACAACAACGTTGACTACGAGCTGAAAACACCACCCATGGGAAAGATGGGCATGAATGACGACACTGCTTGTCTAAAGATGTCCGGCTCCGACCTATCTTCCTGCAGTAAACCATCGAGTAAGTCTATAATACTTACCAGCGGGCTGAGTATTGAAATTGATAGACAAAGAAGAATAAGGAGGGGTCCTATTCGTGAGAGTGGGTGGTTGCAATGAACAAAGAAAGGAGGTAAATAGACTAACTAACGGCAACCCACGAGAGACTCTTTTGGTTAGTTCATAATTTTCTCCCTCAGTTTGTGGAAACCACCCATTTCAACCAACCGGATCGCTCCATACTCCCTAAGTCTACTTTGTCTATCAATGCCAATCGTTAGCCCGCAGCGATGCATGTAAAATGGGATCACGGTGATGCACCTCTCCACCCCACCCCTCATAGTCCTAAATAATTACGAAATTTCTATAAAAATTTCTCAATGTTTTGGAGAGGGTTTAAAAGTAAGGATGTCGATAGGGGCCGTTCTAGAGCCCACTCTGGCTGAATTTTCTCAAATCTACAATTTTTCGCCTATTGAGACTTTATATTTTACGAACTTCAAAATAATTTGGCTATTTCTGATGTCTTGTCGGGTCTATTACTGGTCTAAAAATAGATCTTAGGGCCGATTTTTGCAAAAAATTCGATTTTATCAGCAATCGACCGAAAACCCGCATTTCCGCTCAAATCTGCCTTTAGCCCAGTAATAGAGTCGAAGAGAGACCAAAATTGACCTAAATATCATTCATTCCGTGATATACAGACCCTCAATGAGCGAAAAATTGTTGAGTGTAAGAAGACATTGTGTGTGTGAATGTGAGTGTGTGAAGAGATTGTGTCTGTGTGTTCAGAAAGAGCTTAAAGACGGCCCTTATCGACATCCCTACTTTAGGAAAATGATTTATTTAAAAAAGTATTCCTTACTTTTTAAAAGAGAATGAGTGCGGAAAATTTGTTAGGGTGGCTCATAATAAAATAATTTTCTGAATTCGAGAGTACAAGATTTTTGGCGGTTATGCTTAAAAGCCGCTTGCCAGTTGTCTGATCATATTTTGAGAGATAGGTATATGCTATGTGCATGTAGCGTTTGAAAGTCGCAGGTCGCTTGAATGCGCCACGGAACTGACGTATTTCCCTGGCCAAAGTGCGAAACAACGTGTCTCCGTTTGCAACATTACAGACTTCCTGTCATACTTTATTTCTTCTTGGGAAAATTGGTCAACGTAATGGACCACTAGACAAGGTGCGAATTTAAGCAATCTGATACATGTTTCTTAACCAGAATTTCACGTAGAACACGATTAACGCAATGAATATTACTGAAACGAACTCCTAACGAAGATATTAACGTTTTTACTTCACATTGGTTACGAGGAATTTGAACTGCCCGCTCACAAGAAACTCAAAGCTCTACGTGAGTCAAACCGTGCACTACAACGGTTTCAGCAATCTTCTCAATCGAGCAATGTTCATTTCCCACCATTTGTTGTTCAAACTATAAGCAATTTGCTATAGCTGAGCCAAAGCGTCAAAATTGAGGTTGCCAGATTTTAATATAGCAGAGACTGTCATGATAACGTTTAGCGCGCGATGTGAATCACGTGGAGCGTTGAGTTTTCGTGAGCGGGTGGTTTGAATTTACGCATCAAGAATCATTAAATATCTTCGTAAGGAGTTAATTTCGGTAATTTTCGTTGTGCTCGCCGTGTTTTACGTGAAATTTTGTTTAAGAAACATGTATCAGAATGCTGAAATTCGTACCCTGTCTAGTGGTCTATTACCTGAAAATTCCTCTGATTTTTCTCCTCTCTATGTTGACGGAATATTCTGCATAAATTTCAAGATAAAATGCTGGGCTACTTCTCTGAGAAAAAATAAAATAGGAGCGGAAATTTTGAAAATAAATCATTCTAATGGATACATTGGTGTCGCGCTTTGGTCATCTATATGTACGTAGTGTAGACTTGCCAACTTTCGCCTTTAATTTGATTATTCGCGTCTCTTTATAATTTACTCTATGTTTTTACACGTTTGAATTCTTAAATTTGATTCCCTTTTGATTGCAGCGAGCTTTTTGGGAGAGGTGATTCTATCTTTCTCCGTCATCACAAACGGGAGGAAGATTTTGAATGCTGGCCCTCCTCCACCTGATTCCTTGAATTGTGTCCACGGCTTGCGGTTCCTCAGTTTGGCTTGGGTCATCATGGTTCACACTTACCTCCAAGTTTTTGCAATTGCAGGTAAAATAAAGTATATGAACGACACTTCCATTATTACATCCTCGTTTAACCACCTGTGTGAAATAAAACAGTCCTCTCCCTCCCCCCCCCAAAAAAAAATCCCGTTCGAACGAGAAAGCCCTGCTAAAAATACCATGTTTGAATGTACTTGTCGTCCCCCGACCTTTCAGTGGTGTTCAGACGTCAGGTTTAGCGGTATTTGATACTATAATTTAGAAATAACGACGTATTTTTGGTGTCTAATGGACCAGGCAACAGACTGTTCGTAAATTCATTTCTCGACAGAAAAAATGGCAAAAATGAGAAAGAATCTGACGAAATTCCAATAGGGATAAGCAAGTTGAAATTGGCGCCTGAGAATAATCGACTTTTCTTTTTTAAAGACGCATGATCCATTGGGGCATGAGTCATGCGATAGTGTTTTATTTTTAAATTGTACACCAGGAATTGAAATATCCCAGGCTCTAGGAAGTTCTGATGAAAAATGCTTTATGGTACAAGTATTTAAATAAATCAATAGTTTTATACAAATTAGCAATTTTGAAAACAAAAACATACAAAATCAATATTGAGGCACAAACAACAGTCTGACAAACATGAGAGCTGTTTAGTCATATTTTAGGTGTATCTTGTTTCTATTTATTGCTGTTCCTCTTTTTTGGACCTCTGCCGGCTTTTCAAATTCTATCTTCTATTCTCAATCAACATGGAAGCTATCACTGCCTACTCGACTTTTTTCCCCTTTTTTTTGATCGGCATAATTTTTTCAGTTACTGTAACAAACATTTGCAATTGAGGTACCTGCTTTAGTTTAAATTTAAAATTAGAGGGTTACCGCTAGAAAAAGTATGATATGCTTTTAAGGAAGTCTTAGCGTTAAATTGTCTCATGTTGCACGACGACAATACTTGCTGAAAAATCTGGTATGCATCGTGATAATAATATTTTTCAACAGAGGCAAAAGGCTTCGATCAAAATCTCTCAAATACGTAAATATTAATGAATAATTAACAATAAGGGGGAGTTGACATTGGACAAGGTAGGCAAGGACAGGATTACTTAAAATAGCAAAATTACGAACTATTTGAAATATAGATGTAGGTAGGTAAAACAAATCGGATTAGAAACAGTAATTATTATTCTAATTTACTGAACTGGAGATGTCTACATGAAAGGGATCTTACAAGCAGAGGATTTGATAATACATATATAGGTAAGTACAATTTGAAATATAATAGTAAAACAATGGAGATGTCTACTTCAACTCAACTTTACATTTATTTACGGAGAGCCAATTATTTGCGAAGAGAACATGCTCCGATAAACGCGTTAATATCCTTATTGCTCAAATATTGCAGTACTCTCTCCACGACAAGATCCGGCAGTTGGAAATCAGGGACCAATCTGGGGCTCAGCGCTATTCCTCGCTCCATTAAATCCCTCCTGGCAACACCTTTATGGAGCTGACTCGTCAAAATACTCCAGTGAAATGGGAACTTCTCCTCCTTAACAGCCAGTTCTAAACCGCTGCTAATACTGTCATTTCTAGCGAGGACGGCCAAGCTATTGAGATCGGCAACTAAAAGCTGGAAAAACGTTACGTCACTGTCGCCAATATATTGAGTCTTGAGGGTCTGGATCTCAAGGGTGCAGGCGTCGTACTCCTCGGGATATCTGACCACGATGTCGTTGATCAAGGGCTTTAAGTTGGTAGGGACCTTGACCTCGGCCGCGTGAGCCATGAACAGGTGTCTCCTGAGCCTGTTGGGTTGCGGATCGTTGGCGAGGATCCTGCGTTTGACACGGGGATGGTGGTAGATGTCACTCTCGAGTGAGATTTCAGGTTTGTTGAAGAAAAAATCCAAGAGGATGTTCAGGATGCGCCAACGTCCGAGCGCGGCAGCGTGGAGAGCCGTACACGCATCCATCACCGCATCAGACTCGAGTAGGACCCGGACGATGTCACCGTGGTCTCTTTTGACGGCGATGAAGAGGGGTGTCAGTTGGTTGAGCGTCTTGCGGTCGACATCAGCGCCGTACGCCAGGAGCAGCCTGAGGGTCTCTTTTTTGTTCAAATCCGCCGCCAGATGCAGAGCCGTTCGTCCTCTTTCCAGCCTCCTTACACATCGCTTAGGGCCCATGGCAAAGATTGCGAATTCTATACCTCGACTTCGAGCGTTCGGATTCGCACCGTTCTGCAAGAGGAGCTCTACGACGTCATTGTCCCTGTAGTCCCATGCCACGGCGAGACTTAAGCTTTCCGTGTCGTATTTCAGATCAGCTCCTTTCGATATGAGCAGTCTCGTCAGTTCTATATTATCCAACGCCACAGCTTGGGATAGAGGGGTCGGTCCTTCCTGCGACTTGGCGTTTACGTTCGCGCCGTGGTGAATCAGGAGTTCGACCAACTCAACATTTTCCCGTGACACCGCTGTGATCAGAAGTTCGGGGTCTTCTTGAATCCTTGGTTTGTACTTATCGTTAGTTTCTATGAGGAATCGCACTGTCTCCAAATCCTTAGCTTCGATGGCACGGATTAAAGGATCGTCCTCCTTCAGCTTCCCATTGTCCAGCGCCGGGATCTTCAACGGGTGCCGGAACTCCATCTGCACACCTCTGAAACAGATTTCAAGACATCGTTTATAATAAGGAAAGGAATACTGGCAGAAACAACACCCCCCCCCTCCCGGATGACATCACACCAAATTAAAAATGAAAGATGAAATCGACTGCATTTTGCAATGAGGAACTACAATTTCTGGCTCAGTTGAAAAACAACCATGTACAATTATTTCTCCTAGGCACATAAGTGTTTTTGCAGATAAGCTAGAAATTTTAGTTCCGATGAATTATTCCAAATGATGAGCCGTCCTCGGGGCCCTTTCAACAAACCGAATATATATATTAATATATAACCGGTTATGTATCATATATATATATAAGCTCCGAGACCTCCTAAATTTGCATATCTAGTAACGCTTAGTTCTAGCGTTCTACCGGGCTGATTTTTTTCATTTTTGCGGCTATCGACAGGCCATTGTCTCTAAATGAGCCCGTTTTATTTAGATTTTGAAAATATGCCCCAGGTTTGTTCATATTACACGGTAAAGTTGCGAATTCTCCCATTTAAACGATGTAAATTTTTATTTTTTATCACAGTTCGTTTGAGCGTTCTACTGGGCCGATTTCGCTAACTTTTGCAGTTATCGACAGGTAATAGTCTCTGGATGAGTCCGCTGTAATCAGATTTTGAAAATATGACCCAGATTTTTTTATTATAGAGAGTCTCTGGAAGCTTAAAAAAGGGGCGACATTAGAAATTCCCGCCATTTTTCATTGGCGGGAAATTCAAATTTTCCGGAAAATTGAACTAGTGAGAAATGTTGAATCTTGGTCTGATATTAGTAGGGCAAGGTAAACGAATTGAAGGTATTCTCCTTTACTACAGACTATCCAAAAGTAACAAAACGCTCCGTTCCGTTTCAGTCTAGGCCTGAAGTTTGAAATAAATGACGGTTTTCTTATTTGATTCTTATTGGTCCAATCGCTCCCGCCCAGAGCAAGATTGGACAAATGAGAGTCGGGCATGAAAATCTTTTCATTTGTTAGGTCGTTCTTTTGCCAAAGCGGGCCTAAGAGAGGGCGAAGCGTCCTCTGGGGGTTAGGCCGCGTAGCGGCCAGGGGGCATAGCCCCCTAGTATTAATCATTGGCGATAGGAGAGAAGAGGTGGGTTTATTTTTATGGTGCGTACGACTATCGCATCCGTCACATCCGCATAAGTTCCACGGACGCACGTAGTCGAGGAACATTACGAGGAAAATTTCGACCAAGTTGGAGCCTTATGCTTACAGCAACTGCGTGGATTTAACCAAAATTAGACGTTGCTTGATTTCTATGATATTTTATTATTTAAACAGAAAACTAATCAAAAAGCATCGTTGAAACTTGAAATTTTGTGGGTATATTCTTCACAATCCATGGTAAATATGTAAAAACTTTGATAGTAGCTATAAATTAAAGAATTGATAGTTCTTTAATGACCTGAGAAGATCACTCCACTGGCAATGAAACCTCTGCCTTTGTTCAGCTATTAAGATCTAACAAAAAAAATGAAAAAGGAAAATTCTGCTGTGCTAAGGAAGAACACCGTAAAAACATTCGAGAGTTGCCACATTTCTTTCTATAAAATGTTCATTTTCGAGGAAAGTTATGAATATTTTCCCTTGAAATTTTCAGGAATTTTAGGTGAAATTGCGAACAAATTATTCTGAAAAATCGAAAGGTAAATATTCATAAATTAACCAGGAAATTCGTGTCTTATCAAAGGAAATTCGGCGACGCCGGAAGGTTCATACGGCGTTTTTCCTTAGCACGGCAGAATTACTTATCATAGTGAACTCCAGGTGATAAATGTTAAAGCCCCTTAATAATTGTGACAAGAACCTAGTTCTCGGAGCATTTATTAAGGTAAAGGAGTCCTTTCCATCATTATTCCTAATTTTTGTAAATAATAATACTGCTCTATCACTCACTTAGAATTATTTGTTTGCATTGTTTAGAAAACAAGACCTTACGAACAGTGACAGAAAGAAACTTCATGTTCCAGACAATCAGTAATGCGACCTTTTCTGTGGACACCTTTTTCTTCATCAGGTAAATATTGTGACACAAAATACAATGGGCCAGTTGGGCTGGTCACAGAATCGTGTTTTGATGCTTTATTCTTGTAGATCAGCTAAAAATAATAAGATCTGTCTAAGCAGTAACTTTCTGCGTTGACTATTACCCGAGATATCGCGTCTGGAAAAACTCGATTTATGACGTCACCACCGCGGTAGTACATTCCATGTTATGCGCAACCTCGGTTGATGACGTCATAAATCGAGATTTTCAAGGCGCGATATCTCGGTTACTATTCAACTTAGAAAGTTGCTGCTTGAACAGATCTTATTAATCTTAGCTGATCTACGAGAATAAAGCATCAAAACAAGATTCTGTGACCAGCACAATTGGCTCATCAAGGCAAATAATGGATATTATATATTTTAGAAACATATTATAAAATAGGTTTAGAAGGAACGTTTAGGAATGCTTCTACGGGTATTATTCCGACAGCTATTTAAGAAAAGGTAAGAAGGGGAGGAATCAAGGGGTAAAGTAGTCAAAAGTGCAGCATATACCTAAATTATGATCATACCATAATCATCCTGATTATATTGCGCAGAGGCAAGTCAATTTTTATTTGAGTGAGTAAAAAAACGGAAAAGTTGCAAAATATTAGCAACGCCGAATGAACATGCATTGTCAAAAATATGTTTTATTAATACACCTCTTTGAGATCAGTTGAGCTTGATTTATCTGAAATTTCAAAAAAAAAAGGCGGCACCCTATCCTATGATAACGTCACCAATAATAGCGTTTATAGCATGTCAGTATAGACTTATAGTGATGATTTGGCTTCACGCTTCAATCTCAGAACATAGTCTCAGAGTCCAGAGGCTAAAAAGAAGTTGAAGCTCGTCAAAAATTAAACTTTAAAATTAATAAAACTAACTGCCGTTTCCGTCTTACAGCGGTTTGTTAGTGACTTATCTCTACTTCAAAGCCTCTAACAAAGAATCGGACACCTCCAACAGACGTCCTTCTCAAGACGGATTCAAAGCGGGTACAAGTAAATTCTTTACCTTGCTAAGCTACCGATACGTCAGGTAAGTCATTCACAAGTTTCTGTCATATACTTATCAGTACACATTTTTCAGGTGACAATAAAATAATCTTTGATTTGAGAATTATTATTTTNTTGGGGGGGGGGAGGGATAAAGAAAGGTTCTCTTTTTATCTAACAAAATTTTTTTGGATTAATATTTTTCAAAATTCAGATAATTAAATTTTTCATCGAGGAGGTTCAAATTCCTTGAATTAAAATAAACTCATTCTTTCACTTAAAGGAATTTTTTTTTGGAAAAGAAAAAAAATTTACCTCGAAAAAAAATGTCCTTTTATCAGGGAGAACTTGGTCACAATCTAAAGAAAATCTCTTCGTGCAAATCGTGCGAAAGCAACTGATATATGGATTACATTATGCAAGAAGGAACTACAGCTACTGGCTCAGTTTAGAAAAAATGTATGTGCCACTAATCTTCCTTCCTATTCACATGAGTGTTTTTACAAATGATTCAGGACTGTATTACCTGATTACAAAATGTAGTCCAAATAACTGATTCCCATTGGTTTGATCATGACACTTTCTTTAGAAGCCATAAAGAATGGTTTCATACCATCAACTTTCAGAGAGTAATAATTTAACGTTTTCATACTTTATGAAGGGATTGAACAGGTTTGTAATTTAAAAATTCCAATCTATGTCAAAACTATCGTTCTCTATTTTCTCTTGAGTTTTCAGAGCGCTTCTAAAATTTTCTGGAAATTAAATAAAGTGGGTTCCTACAGCCTCGCCTCAGACTATACAGCTATTGTATAGAGCTCCGTTTACTCTCTTTATTGCAGTGGCGTGGCATGCTCCGCAAGATATGGATTTATCCGCCTTTTAAATCCATGGAGAAGGATCGACAAACGAACACATTGCTAATCGATTCCTTACCATAGATTCAAAGGAGAAAATATCGAAAATCGATCATTCACGCCTCGCCATTGCTTCACACCCTTGTCGTCTTAGTTTTTAGAGAACTGATATGCTTTAACTTCATCCGAACAGGTGACATTAACCACTATTCATTTGTTTAGATTGACGCCTGCGTACATGTTCGTGTTAGGCATGGCGGAACTTTCTATGCGATGGTTGAAAAACAAATCAGTATTTGAGCCACTCAGAAGGGATGAAGTCAACTGCGATCTTTACTGGTGGAGGAATGCCTTGTACATCAACAGCTTGTATCCAATGAAAGACATGGTAATATTTTCTCTCGGTTTCTCTAATTTTTTCTCGGAGAAGGGAAGAAAGGTCCGGAAAATATTCGCTCGAAAGTGTTCGAAATTTTTCTCTGGGCAGCTGCATAGAGGTACAGTGGAGGTTTGCTTGGTTTTAAATCAATAGATCGTGTGCGATGGTGGTTCGATGTATCGTTTGGTTCAAAACAATAGAGCATAAACTAAAACAAAAATTTTAGGATTTAAGTAGGACAAGCTGAAAATAAGAAAATTCCTACCAATTTCACTTTTCATCACCATTTTATACTCATACTAAGGGCCTGTGGCCGCTACGCAGCCGCCAACCACTGAGAAAAAACTACACGTAAAAAATCGTAGAGCAACCATGGTCAAGTTATTTTAGAGATGAAAAGATTCAAAAGCCGACGGATGCACGCGAAAGAAAGCGTATTTTTCTCTAATTGCAACGTCATGCACCACTCTTTATGTTTTATTTTTGAACACCGGTTTTAAAAAGCTACACGCAGTTTTTCTGAAGAGTTTCCTTGTAGTTTTCTGAATGATCTCAAACATATAAGCATCGAAAATTTCGACGCGATATTTTCGTTTGTTCTATTTTCTTTTTGTGAAACCAAAGAAAAAGTAAAAATCATTAGAGTTTCTGAATCGTTACACTGAGGAAGTGAGGATATACATTTTCCCTTTGATTATGGTAAATACCGGAGCAAAGAGTCAAGAATGATGACACGAACCCGAAGTTTAACAGAGGCTTCAGCGTCGCGCGAGCCAGGGAAGGGAACGCGGTGGAGTCATCCTCGCAGTGGAGAACGCCTTCCATCCGGCTAGCGGCAACATGCCTACACCCGTGGTCGAATAGTTATCTCATTATGCCTGCCGTGGATGAAATCAAATATCGACGCCTGCACGCGGGAAAAAGTGTTATTATCTCCGATTGCAACGTTGTACATCTCTACGCGTGTTTTATTTTTAATCAATTTTTTTTAAAAAAGCTACACACGATTTTCAGAGGTTTTCGAGAAATTTCTTGAATGATTTAAGATGAAATCACAGGAAATTTCGACGCGATGCTTTTGTTCGTTCTTTTTATTAAACAAAATTATACTTCCGCGAATCTAGCTTCAGAATCGCTGCATCGTTTTAACATCGTCTGAGTTTTTGAATCTTTGCAATTAAGATACATATTGACCCTTTAAGTGTAATAAAAACTGGGTAGGGACCGTCAAAAAATACTGACGCTTGGCCCTAGTTTTGCGGCGATTTTAGCGTCGCGGAAGCCAGGGAAGGGAGCGGTCGAGTGTCGAGCCATCTTTACAGTGTGATGCTCCTTCAATCCAGCTAGCGGCAATGTGCCTATACCCGTAGTCGAATAGTTGTCGCAAATAGCTCTCGCATTGCGTTTGGTGCAATGCGAGAAGTATTCATGCAGGCTTGTAGGCGTTAATATGCGTTCGACGCCGACCGCACTATCTGGCGCAATGCGTGAAGTATTCCTGGAGTCTTGCAGGCGCTGATATGAGTTTGACGCCGACCGCACCATGTTTGGCGCGATTATTCGAACTTATATCGCGTTAAGAGAATCGCGGCATCGATCAATAGACCGTATTCGATAACGGTTCGATGTATCGTTTGGTTCAAAACGATAGAACATAACCTCAAACCAAACTGTAAGGATTTTAATTGAAAAAGCTGAAAATGAGAAATTTCCTGACAATTTCACTTTGCATTGGCATTTGGTACTCAAAGAATAAAGAATCTGTTTCAAAAGATCCGTTCTCTCAGATTTCTGAATTTACTTTTGAGGCTATGATTATGTTTTGAACCAATCGATATCGATACAATCTCACCCGTTTGATGTATCGAATACGATCTATGGGGCTTAAAAGGCCCATGTTGTGTTTCGACGCCGCGCCGTATGAGCATTCTAACGTTGCCTTGTTTCTCCCGATTAAATATTTTTTCTGAGAAAAAATAAGAAAGTTCTGTTCTCTGTGTTCGCTTTTTTAGATTGAATGGACCATTGAACAAGGTACAAATTTAAGCACTCTGATACAAGATTCTTCACCAGAATTTCAAGTATAACACGAAAACCACTGAAATCAACTATTAGCTAAGATATTAACGTTTCTATTGTCCAGTAGTGGTTACGGGAACTTTGAATTGCCCGGTCATAAGGAAAACAAATCCCTACGCGATTCAAATTGCGCGCTGCAATGGCTTTAGCAGACAACTCTTTCGAGCATTGTTTCTTTCCCACACTGTGATGTTCAAAGTGTGTGCAGCTTGAGCTGAGCGTCAAGATTAAGGCTGCCATATTTTCGTATTATTGAGACTGTCATAGTGACGTTTGGCGTGCAATTTAACCCGAGAAAATAATTCTTTCTTCCATGAGCGAAAAGGTTGAATTCATTCATAAAAAAGGTTATTACCACTGTTAGGAGTTAATCTAGGGTTAGTTCGATGATGTTTGAACAAATTCTTGTGAATTTAAATGATCAAATCAGCTTGGCCCCAATTGAAGTTAGAGTTTTTTATTGTTTTTTTATCAAATTAAATAAACTGGGTTGTCGTGGAGATCATATTTCAACATTTTTGATGTTCAAATCAAAAGAGAGATATTTACTTCCGGAAACACATCACGTAGCTGTAACAGACCGAAAAACATCAAACTTCAACATTAATCCGAAGATATTTTAGCATATAATTTGGTATTAACTCGTCCTCATCACATTTTATTTATTTTTCAGTGCATGCTGTGGAGTTGGTACATGGCAAACGATACTCAATTTTACATTTTAGGGATTATAATTCTTCTTTTATCGGCGAGGTAAGATTTTATTTACTTACACATCTCACGAAAAATGTGTCAGAAATAAAGAAAAAAAATTAAGAAGGATGGGAACTAAAGAGGATGGTTGCTATGTATGATTTCAGACAAGAAATTATTATAACTTAAGAGCACGTAGTATATATTCCCTTCGTTTCAATAAGCTTTTAATACCAGTGGCGTGGCGTGAATAATCGATTATCGATATCTCGCCATTTGAAACTATGGTAAAGAATCGATTACTAAGGTGTTCGCTGCGAACACCCTGATAATCGATCTTTTTTCATAGGTTTAAATGGCATAACAATCGATATATCGCAATTCACGCCACGCCACTGTTTAATACGAGCATATGTATTATCAAACTAGCCACAACCGTGGGCGTTTCGTTCACGGCGACGAGAAATGCCTTCAAACTTTAAAATATGCAATTTTACGGAGGCTAAAACATTATTAGTTGCCTATTCAATTTAATCCAGGCACTCTGTTTGGATCAAGTCGAGGTCTTTGACTTGAACGCCTATATTATGTGAAATTTTAAAAAATGTAAGGGTATACATCCGTAGTTACACTGTTGCATTGCTGTTCGAAAATAAGGAAACACGTGTACAACAAAGTTAAAATGAAAAAATCTTAAAATATTTGTACCCCTACCTTTAACAGAAACTCAATTAATTTTAATTACCGACCACCTTCTGCTCTTCAGCGTTTTATTAAGGATTTGAAGGATTTTTGGTGCCGTGTGTCGCGCAGGGGGGTATGGTCAATCACTTGCGAGGCTTAGTTTTTGGAAACGTACAAGTAGTTTTATTGATAAAACATACGGGGTCGAGGCGAGACTCTTACAGACTGAAAGAAAAGAAAAGAGAATAAAGTGAAGCAAACATGCCTCGGCCACTAGGCTTGCTGAGTCTGCATACTTGCAGTTCGGCGTTGCAGGACTTAAGTAACAACGCATTTTTAACCGCTGAATCGCAAAAAATTCAACACCGTGATTGATGGATTCTGTAAAAAATTGTTAAACACACACACAATAGCACATACTTTCCTTCGGAATTTACCAAAGGCCGATTCTCTAATTCTTCGCAATATTTTCAAATTCCTCATTTTTTAAATTTTCTATGCTTACATCATTATTTTGTTTTTTTAGATATGGAAAGTTCTCGGCGATTTCCATAGCATTCTTCCTGTTGCTCTCATGGTTCGTGACAATCCTGATTTCGATCAACGTCCAGTACATTGCTAAGTAAGTGCGAAATATTTCATAATACTCAGTTTATACAGAGTGATCCAATAAAAGTCCTACGCCACCCGCATAGCTCATAAGGTTTTTGCCCACTTCTAGGGTGGTCCTCAATGATTTTTTTGGGGGGGGGGGGGTAGGGATAACCGAATAGTCGTTTCCTTTGACTTACGAGCACTCACATAATTTCGAGTCCCACATCTCGACTTGCTCAGAAGTTACAAGGGGGCCCAGTGCTGGTGTTGCGAACTTTTAGATCAACCTCTATATCGACGGTGAAACTACCAAACCACGTATCTCGTTTGCGGTGTTTAAAAATCTACGCTCACATTTTATTTTTTTGAAGTAGACCAAATCAATATCATTCTTTGAAATTTTCACGGAATTTTCTCCGCACGAAGAGGAAAAATCACAGAAATTTTCAAGACTGGATGTTGAGTAGTTTTTCATTTAAAAAATAAAGTATGACAGGAAGTCTGCGACGTCGCAAACCGAGATACGTGGTTTGGTAGTTTCACCGTCGATATGTAACTCTATAATATAAAATCATAAGTGTAAGGCGTAAATCATATCACCTAGGGCGCAATACGCTGCATTGCATTTTTCCACTTTCTCAATGATTCTTATCAAATTAAATTTATATATCCTGCGAAAGTATCATATTCATGCAACGTTTCAGTTCTACACGTAGAAACTGGTTCAACGCGGAAAAAACCTGCTCAGCGTCTGGAGAGGTAGGTTAAATGGACGAAATTTTGAAATAAGGGACTACTTTTCCTGGCTCTCTCACAAAAGCGCCTATCTGCATAAGGTAATTATTGGCACGCACGTTGTTTCTGAAAGGAGCCACAAATAGTATTTCCCTATTGCAAAATGTAGTCCAAATGGAATCACTTATAGCTTTTGGATCGCTACCCGAATTAATCGGACGTATTTCTGCCAAACGGAACGATGTGCATTAAGACATGAGCCCTGAAACCCATAAAAATAAATGCTTAACAGGGCTTACGTCATAATGCACATAGTTCCGTTTTGCAGAAATACGTCCAATCTAGGTAATTTCATGACTTGGCCGCAGAGTCGTTTATTCCGTGAAAGTACTTTTATCATGCGAATATCAAGAATGTGAGCTTTACATTTTCCAATATATTTATTCTCAAAATTTAAAGACATGGTTGGATACTGAACAGACTATGGAATTCATGATTCTGTAACACTGAATCTATGTTCTTCTTTGAAAACTATATTCCTGAAGGATAGACGCATTCGGAATTAAACATATTTTAAAAACCTAAGGTGCATCGTAATGAATCCACCAGGAGTGCCATTCCCGATACTTCACTATAAAAAAATGCTTCAAATGTTCATAAAAAATGTTCAATTTTAATCTAATTTCAGAATCGAAGACCCATTTGGTAACTTTGACGAACTTTATGATAAGCCATGGACTCGTTTGGGACCATATCTGGTTGGTATGTTCGCTGGATGGTATTTGTTCAGGACGAAATGCAAAGTGCGAATGAACTGCGTAAGTGATTTATACGTAATAAAGAGCAATGTAAATTACAATACTGTATTTTCTAGACCTTAAGATTGAACTTGACAAACTCTATAATATTCATATCACAAGGATAACCCCGTTTTCAAAGGCTAAAAACTACCCTGATGCGTCTGTCTTCAAAAGAAACAATTGTGAACAAATCGGCCTCTATAGGCATTGTATCCGCCGCAGGAAAATAGTTAAATCGATCATTTTGTCAAGTGCCTGGGCAAATAATCAAAGGTTCTCACTTACATTAAAAGTCAGAGCATTTGGCTAATTTTAGAAAAAACAAATACTTGCTCATCTGGAAAAGATGTCTCCGTAAAAATTGGCATCATACAAGTGTCAATATAGAAAATCTAGTCCTCAGACTAGCTTTTATCTCGGTATTTTAAGCATGTCTAAAGATACAGAATTTTTTCAACGTTTACTGTTTAAATAAATGAGGAGCATTTGGAGAGCAATACACAAGAGAAGATTATAGAATTGATGGATTCTAACATCCAAAACACAGAAAACTTTAGAGCCCTTCGTTATATAAACATACAAGACCTTATGGACCATCAAAATTTAATTATTTGTCCAGGCATTTGATAAAATTTGCCCGCGAAATGTCGATTGACAAAAAATCGATCTCGACGATGCATCCATTTTTTTATGTACCTGAACCTATGAATGACAGTCCCTGAGTGCACAACAATGGTGAAACTTCCAAACCACGCATCTCGGTTTGCGACGTTTACTACGATCGCAGGCTCGCGTTGTACACTGGTTGGATATTGTGTTCACCGCACCGCGGGTGGTGGGTTGTGGGGTCTGACACGGAGAAATTGGGACGTTGGGTGCAGAAAAGGCATTTGGACGTATTTCTGCCAAACGGAACTATGTGCATTAAGACATGAGCCCTGGGATCCCTACGAATATATGTATAACAGGGCTCACGTCATGATGCAAATAGTTCCGTTTGGCAGAATTACATCCATTTATCAGTTGCGGTGTTTCAGAATCTCCACTACTGATTTATACTTTAGGATCCTTTAGAGAGGTAACTACATATATTCGGTGAATTTTCTGACATTTTTCGTTTTTAGCATTGTAAAATCATGAAGAAAATTCAGTAAAAGTTTCGAAGAATTCCATGAATTATCTTAAATTATGATGTATGAAACAAGGGCAAAGATTCTGAGACACCGCAATTAAGATATGCCTTTTCTGCGCGCAGCGCTTCAAATATGTGCGCGCATCGTGCTGTGATTGCAATGCGGGAAGTATTCCTACAGTCTTGTAGGCGCTAAGTATCACGCCAACTGACCGACTGCGCTGCGTTTGGCGCAGTGCGAGAAGTATTCACGCCGCGCCGTCTTGTATCCGCTGATATGTGTCACGTCGACCGCACTGTTTGGCGCAATGCGGGATGTATTCCTATAGTTGTGCAGGCGTTAATAAGCGTTTAACGCCGGCCACACTGTGTTCGCCGCATTATTCGAATCGCGTTAGAATAATCGCGGCATCGAATGGTGGGGCTTAAAAGGCCCACTTTGCGATTCGTCGCCGTATGAACATTCCGATGTTGTCTCGTTTCTCCCGATAACGTTAAACCCATTCCAGAAAGCTAATAAAGTGGATTGACAGTTGGGCCACATTTTGCAATTAGGAACGATAAATTCTGATTCAGTAAAAGACAACGTATGAACCATTAGTTTCCTTATGCACATACGTGTTTTTTTCGAATGAGTCGGAATTTATAGTTCCTAATTGCAAAATGAAGTCCAATTTTTCCCCGATACTTTTGCCATTTCCCCTGACTTTTTAAAATCCCCTGCCATTTTCCAGTTTTTCCTGACTTTGGGAACCCTGGTTCATTTTAGAGTCCCTTTATACTGAGAGTCAAGACAATTTGAATCCATTTCTGATTGGTTCCCGTATTTTAGGCCTCCACAGTGTCACAAACGGGAATAAAGATTACATTTTCACCAATTGCAAAGATTATAATCTGGAATGGACCAGGGAATTACGGGTTCGGCAAGGAACAAACGGAATGAGAGGAGGAACGGAGAAAGGCATTTGAGAATGGGCCGATCAAAGATTATGAAAAACGTTCAATTTCTGTAATCTTTATTCCCGTTCGTGACATCCATGAGCCGAATTGTCTTGACTCTCAGTATAAAGGGACTCTAGTTCATATACACTTCGGGACTTCGGAGAACGTGGTTTACTTTCAATTTCAGAATTACCCGTCATTTAATGCCTCACAAATGATATTTTATGAATTTCAGACAACTATTTTCCTCGGGTGGGTCCTCTCGTTGCTGACTTTGGCCTCATTGGTCTACGGCCTCCACATATTCCATCTGGGGGTCACCGGCTCTGCTTTCTATGTCTCTGTCGGGCATTCTGCATGGGGTGCAGCCCTCGCCTGGATCGTCATTGCTTGCTGCACCGGCAATGGAGGTGCGTTCCAAAGCTTCCATATCCTACCTTAAGCCTGTGTCACACTATCAAAATACTCCATCAAAATGTCAAGGTCAAGTGCTGTGATTGGTCAAAGTCATCGAATAAGCCAATCACAACACTTGACCCTGATATTTTGATGGCTAGCTTTGATAGTGTGACACAGGCATATCGCTGCTAAGGAAAAACGCCATATGAACATCGAGAAGTGTCGAATTTCCTTTGTTAAAATGTTAATTTTTGAGGAGAATTATGAATGTTCTCTCTTGACATTTTTAGAAGGTTAAATTGCGTTTAAAATTCTGTGAAAAATGGGGAGAAAAATATCCACACGATTTTCAGCAAATTCGCATTTTGTTGGAGGCAATTTGGCAACGCTTGAAGGCTCATGCGGCGTTATTCCTACTCGAGTTTTTCGAGTAGTTGAATAATCGATTGATCGAGGTTTTCGAATTGGTTATTAGTCGATTAATCGCATTTTTCAATAATCGCGAATTCAGTATCTATTACAGTTATCCATTGCAAATTGATTAATAATTTGACTGAATCAAAATTAATCGATTGACGTGCATGTTTTGAAAGGGCAAATTTTCAAAATTATGACCTGGGATGCCGGTTAGGGTTGTCTGGTGTAAATCAGCATTATCGTGCTGAATTTAAGAATTAAAAAAGGAGTGAGCGGAACATGCTCAATGATAACTAAGCATATTATTATTATAATTAATGATAATTATTTCCGTATTTTGTCCTGAAACACAGTGTAAACTAAAATTTAATTGTGGCTTCCTCAGATATTTTAGACAGGAGCTACTGATTTTACGCGGGAGTAAATTGACACTCGTTTGGTTTAAAATCAAACTATAGAATGAAATGAATTAAATTTTGGGAAAATGCTAGAAACATTCAGTATTTCCTGATCCATGACAGACTTTCTTAGTATTTTCCTGATAACATCGAATTTCTTCATTTTCCGGTTTTACTGATGGTGCACTGAAAAAAAAGATTGGTAGAATTTATTATTCCTTCACTCTGTATTTCACACAGCGTTAATTCAGAGTAAATTCTGCCAGAAGAAAGGTAAACGTTACTATATACTGGTACAGGTAACCATTCCTCTAGCAGAATCGACTTGAAGATTGGTAGAGTTCACCATTTCTTCACGCTGTGTGAAATACAGCGTAAAGGAATGGTAAATTCTACCAATCTTTTTTTTCAGTGTATACACCTTGGAAATCATAATTCTACACAGAAAACCATAGACTCTCTATTGATAAATATCATAAATGAGAAATAAAATAACTATAAAATTTTACAGGTTGTGTGAACTCTCTTCTGTCATTCCGACTACTGCAACCTCTGAGCAGGTTAACTTACTGCGCATACCTAGTTCACCCTGTGATCATGGTCCTCACCAGTTTCCAGATGGACGGTCCCCTTCACTTACACAACGGACTCGTTGTAAGTATTAAACAGTTACATAAAACGGATCCTTGGTCCCTCTTAATATTTAGGTTGGCGGGCGGCATTCGCGGGCAAAAATACAGCCTTTTCGAAAATGTAATATCTAGCTGGAGCGCAATTCAGCTATGCATTCACGACTGCAAAAATGTGAACGAAATCGAAAAGGCCAGCGTGCAGGAAGGCTATTTCAATTGTAATATTCCGCCACATTCTTACGGCGCAATGATACAACTATTTGAACTCTCCGGAACGCGTAAGGTATCACGCCGCATTTGAAGGCGTTTACAAAACAGCCAAGTTCCGATACCCGGATTATCGTTTTGCATAGATCATATTATTTTGTTTTCATTTCTAACCACTTATTTCTTCTTAATCCTCGTATAAAAACCACCCATTTGCTAAATACAATTCTAGCTGAAGCGCACTTAAGCTGTGCATTCACGACTGCAAAAATGTGAACGAAATCGAAAAGGCCAGCGTGCATGAAGGCTATTATAATTGTAATCTTCCGTCACATTCTTACGGCGCAATGATACAACTATTTGAACTCTCCGGAATGCGTGAGGTATCACGTCGCTTTGAAGGCGTTTTCAAAACAGCCAAGTTCCGATACCCGGGTTATCGTTTTGCATAGTGCATATTATTTTGTTATATTCCGTACCACTTGTTCATTCTTAATCCTCGTATAAAAACCACCCATTTGCTAAATACAATTGAGGAGCTTTCCGGAAAAAGGGCAAAAACCGAAAAAACAAGTCGTGAGAAAAACGCATTTGAAGTTTTCATTCCTACTTTCTGGGCACTGATGATGACATACATCGGAACTGGGGCACTCATATCAACGTTCATACATCCTAGAATGAATAACGACTATTGGTAAAACTTACACTTCTTTCAGTGTTGTGGGAGGAATTTTTTTAAAATTTTACGTTATGTGCCCTTTTTCCGGAAATGGACCGGTGGTTATAGGTTTTGGCTTTCAAAGCTAAATTTTCAAGACTTTAACGAGTTTCTAAACGAAAATAAATCATAATTTCGATCGCGAACGTGCGGGTGGATCATTTTCGATCATCGTTAATAAAAAAAGACAGCAAAACACGCGAAAAAATCGAAAAATTAAAATCCACAAGAGACCATTAAAAATTGAAATATTAATAATTACAGAATTTCACGTGTCACCGGTAATACGCATAGACAATCACTGCAACCCGATTATATTGCATTGATTAGTAGAATCAGTGCGATGCATCTGTAATGAGGGATCCTTACTTATATCAGTGCCCATCACCTGCCTGCCTGCGCCCTGCGCGCTATCTCCTCAACGTCGCGTCGCGGCGACCGTACCCAGGGGCGAAAAGATGAAATACGCCTGACTTAGCCTCACAAAACTTGGTCTCTTAGCTCCAAAAATTGATCAATTAAGCTGAAACTCGGGACATTGGTACATTAGGATGCGAGGAATCCATTTCTGCCATTTCCGGAAAAAGGGGCGTATGTGCCCCTTTTCGGGAATGCTCCTCAATTCTAGCCGGAGCGCAATTCAGCTATGCATTCACGACTGCAAAAATGTCAAAGGAAATCGCCAAGCCTAGCGTGCATGGAGGCTATGTCCATTTTAATCTTCCGTCACATTCCTACGGCGCAATGATACAACTATTTGAACTCTCCGGAATGCGTGAGGTATCACGCCGCATTTGAAGGCGTTTTCAAAACAGCCAAGTTCCGATACTCGGAATATCGTTATGCATAGATTATATTATTTTGTTTTCATTTCTAACCACTTGTTTCTTCTGAATCCTCGTATAAAAACCACCCATTTGCTTAATACAATTCTAGCTGAAGCGCATTTAAGCTATGCATTGATGACTGCAAAAATGTGAACGGAAATCGAAAAGGCCAGCGTGCATGAAGGCTATTTCAATTGTAATCTTCCGTCACATTCTTACGGCGCAATGATACAACTATTTGAACTCTCCGGAATGCGTTAAGTATCACGTCGCATTTGAAGGCGTTTTCAAAACAGCCAAGTTCCGATACCCGGATTATCGTTATGCATAGTTCATATTATTTTGTTTTCATTTCTAACCATTGTTTCTTCTTAATCCTCGTATAAAAACCACCCATTTGCTAAATACAATTACGAGATAATGGGTACGTAGACTTTGTGCTTTATATTTCATATTCTGAAAGTACCAGGTGAGCAGATTCCGTGGTGATTTGTTGCGTACTTTTTGAGCCGAATCCCGGACAAGCCCGCTTTTAAAAAAAATTTCAAAAACACGCCGCGATGGCGGGAAAATGATGAAAAAGATGTGCCACGGCGCACAATGGATCGAGTCAATGGGGGAGGTCGGACAAAATTCGGAAACTTTAAACGCTTATAACTCTGTTGATACAAGACTTGGAAGTTTTATAAGTTGTTCCATCGGTTTCCTCGTGATATTTTCTTTTTGAAGAACCCCTTAAAATTTAAAATGTGACGAATGTAACATCAAAATTCGCAGTTTTAGTTAACAATAGCATGTCCGACACCTCTGATTGACTCGATCCACTGTGCGGCGGTCGAATCGGTAACTCCTCTCAATTTTCATTTATGTTCGTTCAATTAAAACGAATTTGAATGTGGAATTGTCGCTTGATTACCGCGGATACCATGAATGAGGTTTGATTCTTTGATTCTGAAGATAACGTTTCGACTTTCCTATTGTTTTCATATACGAGGAGTAGAAAGACAATAGATCGTTTTCGATACATCAAATAGGTGAGATTGTATCGATATCGATTGGTTCAACATGTAAACATAGCCTCAAAAGTCAATCGAGTGATCTGAGGAAACGGGGTTTTTCTGATAGATTTTTGATTCATATTCATATAAGTACTAAATGGCATCGCAAGGTGAAATAGTTAGGAATTTTCTCATTTTCAGCTTTTCCGACTGAAATCCTGAAAGTTTTGTTTGAGGTTATGCTCTATTGTTTTGAACCAAACGATACATCGAACCACTGTCGAAAACGATCTGTTGGTCGTACAAACCCGTGCTCGTTTCTGGTGGTGCCAGATGACATCGTTCGGTTCCGCGCGAAACCGGGGCGTTTTAAATTTGCGCAAAAGTTGCGCTTTATGAATTTCTACGGAAAACTAGAGGGAAAATAGTCACACATTTTTCGCCGAATTCTTATTTTGTAATAAAAAAAAGTTTGGCCAAAAAAAAAGGCTTTCATTGCTTGCACGATAAATCAAAGAAAAAAATGCGATCCATTTTTTTACCATTTTCCTGTCAAATCATAGTAAAATTTTTCTTTTTTATTTCAGCTGATCCTGTACTTCGGCAACGTTGTAGCATCATTTTTGCTGTCTTTCTTCATCTCCCTGACTCTGGAGGCTCCTGTCGTAAGGCTTCTGAAAGTTGCTCTGTCACCACCACAGACAAAAAGCTCAAGTAAGATGTAAGGTGGCTCAACTCAAAACGGCGGAGAATGGACTCACGAGATCTTATTTCAAGAAAGGGCAACATGGATTTCTTCCAAGGCCAGCAGGATATATTCATGCCTCCTTTTTATTTTAAATCTACGAACTTGAGTTAGCTCAGTAGGAGGAAGCTTTTAAAGTTTTTACATAACCTACTTTCTTTAATTCAATATAATTTCATCACCTCTGAATGGTGAAAATGCACGATTCCCTAGACTTAAGTGCGCAGAACACCTACTAGAAAAACTAATCGAGGATATTTTCATGAGTATCATGAGTATCATGAGTAAATCCACTCAATAGTTGCAAAAATTGTTTAGCTTTCGTAAGATATTAATGATGATGTTTATGGCAAAAGCTATTTAGATTTTGCAAGTTTGTGTTCACTTTCCGGAGGATAGGACACAGAATAACAAAGGTGTAATGCCTACTATTTTCAAAAATTTTACTGCTGTAACACACATGAGAAAAACTGAATAATTGAGTGTGAACCCAGCACTAATTTCCCCATCTTCTTACATACATTTCAGGCGACATTTTTCGTTTTTTTTTTCCTTGTTCGGAATACTGAAACGATCCAAAATTTCACTTTCCCCTCTCCTACCCCCCCCCCCCCAAACAAAAAAATTCTAGCAACAGTCACCAAAATGCATTTGGTGGCCTTGCATTTCCGAGCTTGCCTTGAATTTTCTGTGTAATTTGCCAAGAATGAAATCGCATGGTCTTCTCCGGTATCGTAGGAAAGCATACCCGGATCTTGAAGTTGAAGAAGGCGTCCTTTTGATAAATGGAACGTTCTTGTGGTAAGAAGTGCTATGTGCACATGAATTATATTAAAGGAACTATGAAATGCACACATTTTATGGACATACGAGGTTCTTTTTGAAAAAGAACCACGATTGAACCTTTTATGGAAAAATTGTACCCAGTTCCTTTTTGCATTAAAACGTCCATTTTTCACAATTGTACAGATGCATACGGTAAAACCCTTGTCTTTGACCCTTCCCATTCCTTTTTTATGATTACACGAGTTTGATCGTCAACACAACACCAAATCAACTTTACGGAGCGTTAAGTTTTAATTCGCGTATGCTTTAAAACAAATAAAAAAAAAATCCGTTACTATGACAGAAAATTTCAGTTATGTGCAATTAACGATGGGTTCTCCTAAAAATTCCTCCTACCTGAGAGAGGCAACATAGTTGATTATTATCAACAGGAATGGAGATGAGTGATGAGAATCAATAGGCTTTGCGTACCTTGTACTATACGTATTGTAATCAGTGGTGACTTGCAAGTTGGCAACAATGTTTTCCCTGTATTCAAATCCACTAAAAATATCGATTTTAGGTGAGGCAAACTGCCTCTCCAAGAATCGATTGTTTTACACACATTTCAATGAAGAAAAAACACCGCAGACAACTTTCAAGAATGTCCCCCGATTCTACTATACATAACTATACGTAAGGAACCTGTATTAGGTCTTTTGGTATCATAGTTGTTTTTCTGAAGATCATAAGCATCTCGGGTTTCAGATACTCATCGCATTGGACCTTTGTTTACAAAAATAAAGGTAGTGTCATTTACAGTGGCGCGACGTGCTTTGCGATATATCGATTGATGTGCCATTTAAACCTATGAAAAAAGATCGATGGATGTTCGCAATTAAAACCTTAGTAATCGATTCTTCACCATAGCTTCAAATGGGGAAAAATCGATAATCGATAATTCACGCCACGCCACTGTTTATTTACTTATGAAGTCGGGCATTATTTAAGTAGGTGCTCTGCCACCCACATAGCACAGAATATTGATATAATACTACAATAGTACTGACACGTCAGTAGTGTCAGTATTTATATAATGCTGATGTATCCTGATTTAATATTATATCAAGACTATCCCAGTATTTATTAGTTACTGATTTGGAGCTGTCAAAATATTGTTACAGTATTGGCCGAAAAGGTTGATTTCATATGGAAATCAGGGTTATGACAAGGTCATCAGAACACTGCAGGACACCGACAATATGTATGCGTTACTACGTTGACTCTGACACGTCTGTACACTCAGCGCACTCTGTCAAGTAGATATGAAAGTTCAGACCATGACCGTCATTTTCATAGTACTACACATGTATTACGTTTGAAACATGAATTACACAAGTATACTAGTATTGAATATTATGAACCACTTACTTGATGTCCTGCGACGTTTAGTAGCGTAAGATACCCGGATGTCCTCGGGTGGATTTGAACCCGAACCGCGGAATTCCTAGCCCAGTATTCTGCCATTGAGCCACAGGGAGCTGATGGTGTTTCGGGTTAAAATCACGCCTATTAAGGCTGTTATAGCATGCATACCATCAGTCCGCGGCTCGACTTTCATCATAACTTTGATTAACACCGTGTTTTCTTAGGCTTCTTTTTCTTCCTATATTTTTTTTTCATTTTTGAAAGTTAATTTCTTTTCGTGTTATTTTTTTTTTTTACCTCGTCAGCATTGACTCAATACTGTTGTTTGATATATTGAAGGTATCAGTGTTATATTCATGCTGACGCGGTATACCTTTTAACCGACAATCTTAATATCATACTGCATTAGTGTTGGTGATATCATATCAACATCCAACAATATGTATCAGTATTGACATAAGATTCTGTGCTATGTGGGCATGGTAAGGAAAAACGTCGTAAGAACGATTAGATGCTGCCAAATTTTCCCCCATGAAACACGCATTTTTAGAAAATTTAAGGATATTCGTCCTTACAATTTCCAGATACTGTATTTTTAATTGCGTAAGAAATACTCGGAAAAAGTAGGAAAGAAAAAATATACAGAGGTTTCCCTGAAAATTCGTATTTTTAAAGGTTTGGCGACACCTGAAGGCTCATACCGCGATTTTCTTTAGCACAGCAGTGCTGGTACTCGATAAGATGACGCGGCAACTTTATAATTTTATGTTTCCGCCTATTTTTGACCGAAAAATTATAATACCAATGTTGTCCTTTCTACTCATTTTGTTCGAACGCACAGTCTTCTCTTCGAAGTTTCCTCCCTTGTACTTTTTTTCTTTCTTTTTTTCTCTTCCTTTTTCACCTCGCTACCTCTCCTTTTATCTCCATTCTTCCTTCGATAAGATTGTGATATTGTTTATAAATTTTTAAAAATGATTGTTAATATGTATATTTCAGTGTATATTTATTTTTTGTACGTATGTTCATGTGAATAATGAATGCATTACTTTTGTAAGGAAACCCCTCTGGGTTTTTGTCTTGTTAATGGATATAATGAAAATGATAATATTAAACTATAACTCTTGGATATGCGTTGAAATTGATTAATTTATCCTTGCTTCTGGGACTTCATAAATGCGAATAGACCCATCGATTATTGAATTAAAATATATGCTAGCTTTGCGGTGGAGAATCAAATTTCAAAAAGCTGCCACCCGTCGCACAGTGGATCGAGTCGATTAGAGAAGTCGGACATGACATTTTTTACTAAAACTAAAAATTTTGATGTTTATTTCGTCACATTTTATATTTCAAGGGTTGCTTCTCGAAGAAAATTTTACGAGGGAACCAATGAAACCACTTTTAGAACCTCAAATTTTAGTATGAACGGAGTTACAAGCGTTTAAAGTTTCCAAATTTCATCCGACCTCTTCTATTGACCCGATCCACATTGCGACGCAACGCGTGTCGTGTCGTAAAATATTTCGCAAAAAACCACGAATTTTTTTCAAGCTGTTTTCTCAGCGTTTTCTTGATTTTTTGAAAATTAGGGAAGCAAGGGGGGTCAGACCAGCGTTACGCAATTCAAAGGGGGGGGGGGTGCAGGGCTGCGTTACGAGCGCGTTACAAGGGGGAGGGGGGTCAAAAATCGAGAAAAGTGCGTTACGTGATACTAACGGCCCCTTTAGCTCACTGGAAAAATGTACACTGAAAAAAAGAATGGTAACATCTAGTGTAAGTCTACTTGATTTTTTACACAGTGATACTATTTATTGAAAATAACCAGAATTACGGTAACACCAGAACTCTAGTAATACGTAAGATAATATGGTAAATGCTACCATAGAGGCTGGGGCTTATTACCATACGCGTTTGTGAGTATGGTAAAATCTAATATATTCTTTTTTCAGAGTAAGAAAAAGAATCGCGTTGAGAGTTGTGTTTCTATTTACAATTTCTTGGATGAAATAATTATTTTTTTACACTTTTTATTCTACTGTGAAGTCATCGAACTTAATTTTTGGGCGGCCTCGTCAACGCATTGTCTCCAGACGTGGATTTGGGGTTTCCCGGTGTTGAAGAAGGATCACGTGTGGCGTGGCCACTGAAGTCAAACTGAAAAGCAAAAGGATTCTCATCATCCTCTATAACGCTGGCTCCGTTACTCGTGCAAGCGTTGTCACCAGACGTGGTTGTTGATTTTCCCGTTATTGAAGGAGGATCATGTGTAACGTGGTCATTATTGTCAAACTGAAAAGCGAAAGGATCATCTATGGAAGAGCTAGCGCTGTTCCTCGGTTTGGCCACGCCGTAAGGTAAAAAAACAGCCAGCAGCATCAGCAGGGCTTCGATGAAATTCGTCAAGCTGCACAAGAACATTTTAGGGTTCCCTCAATGTTTAGTGAACTGAAACCAAGATGGAAAGAAATACCAAGAAATGAATCCTTGGTATTTAGAAATAATTTGTGAATTGTGAGAGACTGAATTGGAGGGACTAGATTCCATTCTGTTCTTCAAAATTAAAAAGAATGACTTTCCCATTCTTCAGGGGGTAACTCCCAAACACATTATTGCATCAAATGGCTTAAAAAATGTAGTGTACCTATACGTGTAGTTTTTTTAATTTTCAAAATTTGATTTTTTAGACATGTTCGAATGATTCTTAGCTTCATTCTTGCAAAGTATGATGGAAATCGCTTAAAATGTTTTCTTGTAAATTGTTAATGATGAAGCGGCACTGTAGCTTTATACATTTAATGCCAGAAGGGCGAAAATTGCATACGTGATGCACACACGCGTCTAGGGTGAAAGGACCTTGAGAAAAAGGAGGCCACGCTTATGACGTCACCGATCGGTGCAGCTATCAGCAGCAATTCTAGTCATTACGGAAAATACGATGGCTGGACGATAAAGCGAGAGATTTGAGAATTTGAGACGAGAGTGCTCAAATCCAGCCATCACTTATAACACAGGGAAGTACTATACTGAAAAGGGACAGATTACGGGACTTTTAAGGTCCGGTGACACCGATTGTGAGTCTAATCTTAGCTCACTGGAAGAATTTAAGAGAGAATGATTAGTATTGGGGATTAGGGTTCTATTTACAATGTCTTAAATGAAATATTTACTTTTTCATAATTTTGAATTAATTTTTAGGCGGTATCGTGCAAGCATTGTCTCCAGACGTGGGTTTTGCTTTTCCCGTTGTTGAAGGAGGAATAATGGTGACAGGGCCATCAGGTTTATTGTCGAAGGGAAGCTCATCATCACCGAAAGAACTAGCGCCGTTACTCGGTTTTGCCAAGGCGTTGGGTAAAAAAACAGCCAGTAACATCAACAGGGCTAACATGAAAGTCGTCAGGCTCCACACAATCATTTTAGAATTTCCTCAATGTTCGATGAACTGAAACCAAGATTTTTAAAAAAATAAATCCTTGGTTTTTAGGGGCAATTTATGAATTAGGAAAGACTGAATTGGAGAAATTCTATTCTATGGTGTCTTGAAAGCTGTTGAATGGATCTCTTGTAAATTTTTGCTGATTGTGAGTAACGTACTTTTGGAAGCTGAAGGATAAAAAAAGGGCCAAGTTCCTCTGCAAATTCTACAATGAATTTCAGACTTTACAGACATGGTCATTGTGGATTTTAGATCATTTTCCACGAATGAAAAATCTTCTTTTCGGTCTGGCAAAACTGTATGCAACAGACTCATTGAAGAAGTGAACTGAAAATGTCTAAACCTGATACCTTGTCAACTTGTTCTCTGTACCTGACAATAAGTACAGAATCAAACAAATAATCTGAATCTCAAAACTAGCTTACAGAATATCCAGGAATTAAAATGCAAACTAATTGAATTTCACCCGTACATCACTGGATCCTGATTTAAAATTGAAATAAGAATCATGTGGTTGGAAATGATCTGAGCAGTTTTGATTGGTTTTACAAAAGCTGTGTCCGTTTCTCAAAAGTCGCGATCTTTTTTCATGCGATACACAATTTGCTTTTGAAATGCGACCTTATGTATCCGATTTTGAATTACGACATGGTAAACTACATTTGCATTTAATTGTTCTAGGTACGTTTTCTCGCGAAAAGATCGGTCCCTTTCTTAACTCATTTTAAAGTTAACAATTTGAAAAAAAATTCCGTCATGAAATATTTTGAGATATGAGGATAGAGGTTTTAGATCTAATGGACGTATTTCTGTTAAACGGAACTAAGCGCCAAATTGAGTTCCCTTTGAGGAATTTAGAATGCCGGATAGCGCATTCTGTTAAACGGAACTAAGCGCCATGGAAAAGCATTGCGAGTATAGGACGGAACGAGCATCGCGTTCCGCAACACCCGCCAATCCAAGCTCCCTTCTCTCTTCCTCCCCCGATGGCGTTTAGTTTCGTTTGATACAAATGCGTCTAAATGTTCATTTGGACTGCATTTTGCAATTTGGACCTATGAATTTTGGCTCATCTGAAAACACACTTATGTGCATAGGGAAACTAATGGCACTTACGTTGTTTTTAAACCGGGCCGGACTTTATAGGTCCAAATTGCAAAATGCAGTCCATTTCGTCCCGGTCTCAAATCTCTCAGAATGTGTGATCGTTGAGAGAAAAACCTCAACCTTTACTTAAGGAATTAAAGCATGGTTACCGATTACAAAAACAGCACTTGTACCCTAATTTCTCCTGATCAGAGTCAGTGCATTTGCATTATACTAGGTACGTTTAAAGGCTGAATTTTCAAAATCAGTGTAAATGAGATTTGTGCATGCTGTAAGAATACAAAATATAATTTTTCGGAGTCAAAAATGAAGCTGAAATAATTCAAAAACAGACTTCATGACACTTACTTCTGGAAGAAATATCAATCGTTGTCCGATGACTTCACAGCACATAGTAAAAAAATGACGGCGAGGTAAAATCGCTCGGTCAAACATGAGATTGTTATCATCTCCAGTTCATTCGTAGATGACGTTGATTTAAGAAATGGGTTATTGCATTCAAATTTGAATATAGATTCTACGGTAGTTAAGCGTTTCGTGATAAAGGCTTTCCGTTAAACGACGTTAAATGACAATTATTTCACTCACTAGCAGACATTCGATTAAATAAAGTGTGCAAACTTCCGCTATTACGCTTTACGCTTTCAGATTTCGCGCTACGCGCAAAATTGGTCACTCTCTGTCGAAAAATTAGCTTTGAGGCAGTGAACATTTTTCTCGATTATAGTTTTCAAAAAGGAGATGATGAGCGTCATTAAAAGAGGAAATCAAACAGGCGAACAGAGGGAATCGAACTTCTGTCAAGAGTCAAAATACCTTTACATAACATTTCTAAGGTCGGTAAAACATTATTTCCTTCGAAATTTTCACCTTTTTGATAACAGAGACGCTTAATCACTCCCTTTCTCATCCGCCATTTGTCATTCTCTTAGAAGAGACAGTACAGTCAATTTTTAGAGGTGCGCCCTTTTGATAGCTTGAGGGACGTCTAACATTTTTTTCTCTTCAAAATTATGATTAATTAGGGCACATCCCATTTTTGGCTGTGTTGCTCACGTAGCCCTTGAAACACTACTACAATGAGACAAAGGAAACTAACACACTACGGAAATAAAGCAAATGGAAAGACGGCGCAGAGATACAACTATTCGTACTTTATGGATGTCCGTGTTACATCTGCAAAATTGAAGGCGCGATGGCGCGAGCTGTGAATTCGCAATGTTCCGCAGCTCTGCTTTAGTTATGCTGCGAATGAGGTGTCGTCATGTCGTGAGAAAAGTTAAAAAAACGAGGTTCAATTATTACGGCTCTCCGGTTTACGGCTATGTTGCTCATACAGTCTTTAAAGCACCGCTAAAAATACAAATAAGACAAACTGAAACAAACACAGTATGGAAATAGAGCAAAGCAAAAGGAGGCGCATTGATAACGGCGCAAAGATACAACTATTCGTACATGATGGTAGTCTGTGTTGCATCTGCAAAATTGAAGGCGCGATGGCGCGAGCTGTGAATTCGCAATGTTCCGCAGCTCCGCTTTATGTTATGCTGCGAATGAGGTGTCGTCATGTCGTGAGAAAAGTTAAAAAAACGAGGTTCAATTATTACGGCTCTCCGGTTTACGGCTATGTTGCTCATACAGTCTTTAAAGCACCGCTAAAAATACAAAAAAGACAAACTGAAACAAACACAATATGGAAATAGAGCAAAGCAAAAGGAGGCGCATTGATAACGGCGCAGAGATACAACTATTCGTACATGATGGATGTCTGTGTTGCATCTGCAAGATTGAAGGCGCGATGGCGCTATGCGTGAACTCGCAATGATCCTTTCTATGCTGCCAGAGGGAGCTCGATTCAAGAGAAAAATTTAAAATGCCCGATTACGTCTCGACTCGGTTGTTCCTCAATTTTTTCTTCTTTTTTCAATTTGAGGTTTGATCCTTTTTTTAATTCACAAATATTTACAGGCCTCCGTCTACGGCTCGTACGTACCGCGGTGCCTCACAACTAGCGTGGCTAATTTTTTAAACAAGGCTCCTGTCAATTTGACTGGGCTTCAGCATCTAAGGATTCATGAAAATATCATTGCACCTTGTTCGCAAAAAAAACTCTGGATTCACGCGGGGAGCCAAAAGAAGCAATTCACAATCAGTCAGTGAATTTGAATAAAATTTAGTTATATTTAATCTTGCAAAATTAGGCTTCGAATGTTCAGTGATGTCCCAAAATATTGTCATTGCTGACAAAATGATTGTTGAATGGGACCTCCTGCAGCCTGCTTTAGATCTATGGTGCATTTAATATACATGTATTCATACTTCCTTTTTTTTTTTTTTCTTACGGAACAACGTGTCTCTCTTACAAAATTTCACCTTCTACTTCCTAGATTGAATGTTTCATTTTTCGATGACTTTAAAAAAATCTTCTTGGCGCACATATTTTCGGGTTCATGAACCCGAAAAAACGGAAATGATGCATCATTTTCCGACTTTTAGTCTTTAAAAGCAGTATTACAGGTTGCAAGCTCAAGCTCTGGCTCGATTCTTCTAGGAAAGAATAATTCACGGAAGCGTCTGGTACCTAGCTTTGATTTTTTTTATATATTTCTTTTTCACTTTACAAGTGTCCCGGTTACTTAAAAGTGTTCAATTTTGCAATTTTGGCTCTGTGCGGTTACTTAATAAACTTCGAACCTGAAAATAGCGTAAAATTGTGCTGATTTGCCAGAAATTTCTGGACCGCCTTTCACGTCGGGGTGCCGAAATATCACTTCGCGCTCCTTTAGCCGGCTGAGGGTCTACGCCCTGAGATGCGAGCCAGTCCGACCCTGATCAACTTGACCTTTCCAGAAATAAATTAAAAGTATTGAAAAGGTACAGAAGTTTTAACCTTATTTTCAGTCCCGTCTGAAAGCAAAGGTCAGGCTTGAATGATCGATTATCAATATTTCCAAATTTGAAGCTATGGTAGAGAATCGATTCAGGTGTTCGTTGCGAACACCCTGGTTATCGATCATTTTCTACAGGTTTAAATGGTAGATCGATCGATCGCAAATCACTTATGTCTACTCAGAAATCATCACCGATGCTAGGTTTTGGCAACGGGACGGAAAGATTATTGAAACTTCACGCAGCCGCTTTATTCGGTGAATTGGTGACCTTGCAGTGCAGAATCTATAAGCTCCTTGACGGCAGTCATTGCAAACGGACCCGAAGGCGTGCATTGATCACTGCAGTGCAACATTGTTACAATGAACACTGATATGTTGCCAAAACCTGCTTTTGAATGGAACACTGAACAATGTAAGATTCGAGCCACCACCAGCTGTAAAATTTCTTGAAAACTGCATATAGTAAATGTCTATCGTGTTTGAATTAGAGTACCTTTACAGGGAGAGTATGGACAACTCAATTTACGTAGCTCTTAGGGCCCAAAAGGGCGACACGTGAAAAACGGAAATCACTAGAAAAGTGCCGCTGCCAACCTATGTATTTGAAAGATCAATCAATAAGGCCGCCAGCGCATAGTAAACAAGCGTTTTTTGACTGAATTATGACTTTGAAACTGAGAAAATTTATGCGAAATCAAAGTTTTATACGTGCTTTTATAATTTCTGGTCTGTGTACCTACTCTCAAAGTTAAAATAAGTACCACTGGATGATTCGAGTTCGTGGGTTGGCTGCCTTTTTGAGCCCCAAGAGCTACATGACCTGATCAAAAAACTCAGTCCAAATGAGAAACTATTATTTATAGTTTTCATCAGAATAAAGGAATTTGAACTTCCTACTCAGTAAAAAACGAAAATAAATGTGGGCCAACTCGTCTTGAAAACAAAATTATTCGGGAAGTAACCATTGTTTAGATTATAGAAATGTTCCGTCCCACTTGGGTAGGTACATACATGATGTTTTTGCACTTGTCGCTTTTTTAAGACGAGAAGATAGCTTACATATAATAAAACTGAAAGGGAAAGGTGGATTTTAAATCGATAAAAATTGATAACGCTGATACTTGCTTCTGCTTTGAATTTGGATTTGTCATGGAAATGAGCATTCGAAAGTTGACAACCTTGTTGAGGTGAGCTCTTGAGCAAATGCATGTCGGAGCATAATAATTTAAAACCTCTGCGCGGACAAATGGACTACATTTTGCTATTTGGAACTACAAATTCTAGCCCGGTTTGAAAACAACGTATGTGCCATTAGTTTCTCTATGCACACAAGTGTTTTTCCAGAAGAGCCAGAGTTTATAGTTCCAAATTGCAAAATGCAGTCCAAATGAGAATTCGCAAGCGGCGGCAAGGCGTAAATTATCGATAATTCGATCAATCGATACATCGCAAAGCTCGCCACGCCACTGTTCAGTATAAATAAGACGACTCAGCTCGCGAAGCGGTTCAGTATTTTTTCTTCATTTCCAGCGTTTAAATCTCCAGTGAAGTGTTTGATAATATTCACCTTGTTCCAACCTCAGGCCGCGAGAATGTTCGCCCGCAGTCTCTAACGATCCCTCACTTTCTGCAATTCATCTATTTTAAAACCAATACAACTGTAGGTACCTTTAAGATTTCAAAATTGTCGTGAATGGTTTAATTTACTTGTAAAATTCATGACTCAGTTTCCCGAGTTTTCAAAATTGATAGGAGAGCGAATTTTAGAATTTATTCACAGGTACTTAAAAGTAAATTACATTTTGCAATCAGGAACTACAATTTCTGGCTCACTTTGGAAACAACATAATGTGCATAAAAATTAATTAATTAATCATTTATTGGAAACGAGACAAATTTAGCTATGTTGTTACCCAGAATTCTTAATAATTACAATCAGCCTTAAAATGATGACAGATATACATTTGTTTCAACTTGATAAAATTACACCATGACTAGATCTGATTATTAAAGGAATTAGACAAATTAAAGGACTTACAACTAATTCTTACAGTTTTACTATGCATGTAGGTGTTTTTAGGAATGGGCCAGAAATTGTAGTTACTCACTGCAAATTGCAGTCCACTTATGGAGACTGTTGAATGTCAAGAAATCATTTGATTCCACGGTACGAACTCGCTGTAAAAAATTATCCAAGGGTAAAAAAGATGTAACTAGGTGAGTTTTAACGAGTTTTTAAAGCTCCAGTTGCTTACTTTTTCCCTTAGATAATGACGACTTCAGAGTTCCTTCAAATGATTTTTGGAAATGTTTTCGGATCAATTTACCAGTCAAGAATCCTTTCATGTTATTTTTTCAAAGTTACACACAAACTAATAGAAATTTCCCGCTACTCCTCAAAAAATTCTAATAAATAGGCACATCGCTAATGAAACTAGAGGGGCATGGATCAAGGTTTGAAGCCGCAAAATTTCAGTCTTATTTTATTTCAATGCAAAGGAACTGAACAGACTTAAAATCTTGAAATCCTCCGTGACCTTCCTTCAACTAATCTAAAAATACATTTCTTACTTTTATACTTAAAATTTTTTAGTATTTGTGAAGTACCTTGGAGGGGCTTGGAGGACAAGGCGCAGAAGTGCAGTTTTTGAAAAAATTGAGCTATAGATTATTTCAAGTAAGGCTAGTCTTGATGCATATTCTGTGAAAAATTCACTCCCGAATTCGAATTTTCAAGCATCAGAAAGTAAGTCTGAACTTTCTCTCCGCCATAAGGATCCATGTAATTTCGAGGCTTCAAAAATGTATTTCTTGAAATGGCAAAAACTGCACTTACGCGCCTTGTCCTCCAAGCCCCTCGTTTTGCAGTTCTCCTGCTTCTCCAAAAGAATGGCTCACCGCCACCGTTTACAATCATCAGCGGGCTGATTGTTGACATTGATAAACAAAGCTATAGACAAAGAAGACAAAAGGGATATGGAGGGATCCTATTGGCGGAAGTAGGTGGTTGCAATGGACAAAGAAGGTAGATAATAGACTAACTAACAACACCCCTCGCGAGATCCTACAGTTAGTCCATCATTTTCTTTCTTCGTCTATAGGAACCAACCCTTTATGACCAATAGAATCGCTCCATATTCCCTACGTCTTTTTTGTCTATTGCTTTGTCCATCAATTTCAACAATCAGCCCGCAGCAATCTTCGGTGCAAGTCTTTGTTTTACCATAACGCATAACACAGACATTAAAAGGATGATATTAAAATATTCTCCTTATTCTAAGCCGTTCTTTTTATTCCTCTGGTATATGATTCCTATCTTTCTCGTTTCTATTTAATTTTAGGTTGCTGGAACCGGGTTTAACATCCAGTCCCTGGCACCACGAGCAGATTCCAGGGTCAGTTTCAACGCAGAACTGAATACCGCGGTTTCTCTCGTTTTGCTTGCACTAAACTATCCACGTATTCATCTGAAAATTTGTTTGTCGCCTTTCTTAAAATATTGTGGTCAATAAAGACGTCTTGATAACACATTTTATGGTTGTGTGATTTTTTTGGTTTGGGTCACAAGATCACCAAGATTCAATCATCTAAATTTGTTTCGGCTCTCTTTGAAAGGTCATCATTACTCCAGTCTTTCAAGCTGCTTGATGCCTCTACTAATTTAAGTTAATTATCTTTCTTTTCTTTTTTTTCCCCTATTTATCAGTGCCCTAGAGCCGAAAAGGTCTAACTCACATTTTTGGAAAAATTGAGAATTTGGTAGCCCTTACGCCTGTCATGAGATACGGAGTTTCAAAAGTTGCGATTCGCACTGGAATGAGGGGGGCCGACGCGCGGTTTTTCCCTGATGTCTCGAAAATATTAAAATGAAGTTGGGTAACTTTGACTCTGGGGTACTGATACGAACTCTGGATACACGAGTGCACTAGTTTTTAAAGCACTCCCCTCAGATGAGTAAACATAAATTTTATGCATCTCGACGAGTTTTTCGCAGCATGAACATGTGTCATTTAACATAATTAATGAATGTTTAAACGCAATTCTGGCCATTATCCGCACCCTTACTGCACTGAAGAAGTAAATTGTTCTATTCAGGGGCTAAAATACACACTGAGGTGGTGTTATAACTTTCAATGCATGTTAATGAGTCCTGAAAGTATAAAGCTACATAAATATTCAAAAATTGTAATTGCCATTTTATAGCTGTTCCAGACTAGGAGACAGACAATCGCAAAGTAAGTGCCTAAATTTCACTTATTTTGTGTCAAATTATTGAACTTAATGGCAACACATTAAGAAGCAATTTATTTTACTTAAGTCATCTTCTTAGAATTCGTTGAAATCTATGCAAATTGGGTAATTTTGACTGAGCAACAAATCAAACGATACAAAATGCAGTAAAAAATTTACTTTCAGTGCGTCAGTTTATTTCTTAGTTTAATTGTACCTTTATTTAAAATGCACATCTGTTACAATTTCTGCACTAAAGTTACACTAAAAATATTGAAGCTATGTATAGTATTAGAGCTTTTGATCTTAGGGAGACACCAAAATACAAACATGCGGCAGTCATCCTTTCCTTTTCCTAAGATATTTCTCTGTTTTGCTAGTTTAGTTTGGTGAGGTGTCATTCTAATATAAAGAGCTTGATGCAAAAACGGCTTTTTTCGCCCCCCCTCTGGAAGTTCTTCAGACTTTGTTTATTGATTACTCATACTTGAGCGCTTCTTTTCCCAAATTTTCAGACCCCCAAAAAATTTTGGGGGGGAGCTAGGGGGGGTGAAAGTCAAAACCTGTGAACCTCGATATCTCTTGAACAAAGAAAGATATCGAGGTCCGGTTTGGACGAAAAATCGTCTAAAATTGCATACTTTAAGATTCTAAAGGTCAAAATCCCGATATCACATTTTTAAGTCAACATATGTGGTTTTTTCCAGTTTTTAGGTCTAGAAAATTTCTTTTAAACGAAAAATTTACAAAGATCTCAATTTTTTATTTGAACCAAAACCAGTTTTTTAAATTGTTCGTCTTTTTCCGCATCCAACGAGTGGTCCATTAAGCTGGGGAACCTAACGGTTCCGGAGTTATGATAGATTGAAGTTTTCGCTCAACGCGCGCCGACCGATTTTCGCGTGCAAAAAAGTCGGATTTGACTGTTATTAGATCATATTGAATGTTCAAACTGAGCAAAATGCTTTATTAGGGACTCTTGAGGGTCGCTGAGTTCAGAAATTACAGATACTTCCAAATAATTTACGTTTTTAAAATTACAGCTCCGCAGCGCTATTTTAGAGGCCCATTGAGCGCCGACCGGCCGCTCAGTGGTCCTGCCCGAAGCTGCAATTAAAAAAACGTGAATTTTTTGGAAGTATCGGTAATTTCTGAACTCAGCGACCCTCAAGAGTCCCTAATAATGCATTTTGCTCAGTTTGAACATTCAATCTGATCTAATAACAGTCAAATCCGACTTTTTTGCACGCGAAAATCGGTCGGCGCGCGTTGAGCGAAAACTTCAATCTATCATAACTCCGGAACCGTTTGGTTCCCCAGCTTAACGGACCACTCGTTGGATGCGGAAAAAGACGAACAATTTAAAAAACTGGTTTTGATTCGAATAAAAAATTGAGATCTTTATAAATTTTTGGTTTAAAAGAAATTTTCTAGACCTAAAAACTGGAAAAAAGCACAAATGTTGACTTAAAAATGTGATATCGGGATTTCGACCTTTAGAATCTTAAAGTATGCAATTTTAGACGATTTTTCGTCCAAACCGGACCTCGATATCTTTCTTTGTTCAAGAGATATCGAGGTTCACAGGTTTTGACTTCCACCCCCCCTAGCTCCCCCCCAAAATTTTTTGGGGGTCTGAAAATTTGGGAAAAGAAGCGCTCAAGTATGAGTAATCAATAGACAAAGTCTGAAGAACTTCCAGAGGGGGGGCGAAAAAAGCCGTTTTTGCATCAAGCTCTTTATTTTTAAAAAAAATACTAGGCGGAATTATTCTGGAATTTCAATTGAAATTGTCCAAGAAATTGTTAAATTAAATCGGTTTCAGGGTTCTCTTCAAAGAACCAGACTATTTTATTGACACGTTACTAGAATGAACGCGCATGCAAGATAAAACAAACGTAGGTAAAAAATAAAATAAAATACGACAAGAGTAAAAAAAATAGTTTGAATTCAAAGCTGGTTATAAGGATACATGGTTTGATAGTGCAATTACGTTGTTCAGCACCAAGGAATGCCCATGTATTTAGCACGTTAAATATTTTTTAGGCTTTCTTCATTAAAAATGTTCATATTACTATTACCCACGTGTTAGTAAACTCCACGTGTTAGCAAAAAGCCATAATTGGGGAAGCTCTTTCCGCGGAGGCTGTGAGAAACATTTCAACGGTGAAACTACTAGACCACGTATCTCGGTTGGCAACGTTGCAGACTTCCTGAAATACTTCATCCCTTAAATTGAAAACTCTCCCTCAACGTTAATTCTCAAAAACTTCCATGATTGTTCTTCTTTGCGAAGAACGCTCTGCGAAAAGTTCAAGAATGATTTGTTCTCCATCAAGCTAATTAAATGGGATCGGAGATTTTTAAACACCGCGGACATAATACGTGGTCTGGTCGTTTCAGCGGCGATTTCAGCTTCATTGAGCTCTTTCCCATCAGTGACTCCATACAGTCATTTCATGCCGCACGGGAGAAATTGAAATAAACGGAGTTCTTGCAAGTGTCATGGATTTGCGAATTATAAGTACCACTTCCGGTGCTAAATTTAGCGAGAAACACGACGGAGCCAGGTGCCACTGATTTAAATTATCATTTCATGAAATTTTTTCAGGCTTTCTGGGTTAGAATTAAAATAATTTTAAATTTGTTTCATAAACATGTATACTGCTTTTGTATTCAAAATAAGATCGACAAAAAATATGGATAAACTTTTCAAAATTTATTTTTGATGTTATTTATTTTTCAACAGTAAGTTACAATGAAATACTAAACAAAAAATATATCCTTCTTAACCTCTGTTAAAAGATCTCACATCAGAGATATTAACTGCTGAATTTGGAGCTAAATCAGACATATTCATGTTAAACAAAAAATAAACTGCGAAATAAGCGACATGAAAAACTAAAATTAATATAAAATTAATTTAATATTTTGGATACATATTTACAACAATACAGTGCGATAGAAATGGCGGCAAAGAGACACTATTACGTCAAAACGAACGAAATAGGTCTCCTAACTCAAATAACTTAACAGCACACTGCGATTTTGCAACCATCGCAGACGATCTTCATTTACAGTAATTCAAGTAAGAACAGACAACATCAAGAAAAGTCTAGAGTAATAAATAATTCACTAATCTAGTTGACATTCTTCGTGTTACAAAACTGAAACTTAATTTAATTTTCAAAAATTACAATATGAGAGATGCGACATCGCTTGGTGAGCTTGGTGACTCTCGGTCTCAAAACAGAAGGAAGTGGACGGACACTTTGTTTTTCTTCTTCTTTTTTTTCCCGGTTGCGAAACGAATCTATTCTACTCCAATACTTACATCCTGGTTTATTTATGTTTATTTTTTGAATTTAGTAGCGACCATTCCCAGAATTGAAAAGATTGTTTGATTGTAATTCAGTCCTGGCAATACTCAAACTCCCCATCCGGAAAATTCAGTCCGAATAGTCTATGTTATCATTGCGCGCATATCCTTCGCTGCGAGCGGGAGTGAATGCCGGAGCGCCTTCGTTTCTAGTAAATACAACACGGTCATCCATGGAGCATTAATAGTTGCATCAGCGGGTGAGGGGCAATAATGTTACGATTGCTGGCTAAGCAATAATGTACGCGCGAGCTCTCCATAAAGCCCTCTCATTCTGTTGAATGCAACACGCTTCCCTATTTCAATTGATATCATAGATAATTTTCAAAGAACGTCGGAGGGAAACACTTTCCAACAACACAGTCGAGAGAAAAATAGTCACAATAGTACTTTTCTGGTTTTCAACGCTGTTATCTGTTCCATATTACGCAATTTTCCATTGCGTGATGCTACGTGTTCTAGGAGAGATGTAGATTTCGCGATGGATGGGAATACAAAGGGACGATCACGGAAGGAAATTGGAACTACGCTTGACTCAATTTCTCACGAAATTTCTTACAATCAGCTGACAATGGGACGGATGAAAATTGAGGCGACCGTCAAGCCGTTCCGTAAAAATGTTTGAAGAATTTGAATGCATCCTTCCTTGTCAACTTTAGACTTAAATATTAACACTGACTCGCAAAATGCACAAATTTTTCCCCTTCAACAAGATCTACATGAACCATTGAGTTAACTTGTTCCATTGAGAATCTTGGGGATCAAGGCGGATACGTCCAATCAGATATTAGTGATTTCAACTGAAACTGGTCTTAAAATAATTTACAGGGTGTCCGACAGTTAACTTACTTATCTTTCAGGATCGATTTTTCGGCTAAAATATCACTTTTTTTCTTATACACATGCCCGAAAACGCTTCATAAGTGAGCTATGCGCTTCCAAAGTTGCAATTCTTTTTCTTTCAAAATGATGTAACTCCTTGTTATATAGTCGTAAGCGGCTGGAACCTTGTGCAGGGGAGGGAGTATTTTTTTAAGCGTTCCGTTCATTTTTTGTGTTTTCAAGGACGTGCCTACATCTCCGGAAAATGAAATTACAAGCGTTCCCAAATTTTAAAATTGCGATACATTTTTTGGTAGATGATACTTGGAAAAACGGATTACGGCACACGAAAGAGCGCAAAAATCATGGCCACAAAGTAGTGCACAAAATTTCCCCGAAACGCGTCATTTCGACGCAACAGAGCTTTGGAAAAGTTTCAGAATTTGGAAGCTCCTTGCTCGGTAGACAATTTTTACTGTGGGAAATGTGAGAAAATTGCCTACGGTGCAAGGGACTCCGAAAATTTCGAAGCTATCGCGACGGCTCTTCCTCGCTCCTTGCTACGTAGGCAGTTTTCTTAATTCCCTGGAGTAAAAATTGTCCACCCAGCAAGGAGTTTCAAAAATCTGAAACTTTTTCAAAGCTCTGTTGCGTCGGAATGACGCGTTTCTGGAAAATTTTGTGCAGTACTATGTGACCATGATTTGTTGCGCTTTTTCATGTGCCGTAACCCGTTTTTACAAATATCAACTACCAAAAAATTTATCGCATTTTTAAAATTCGGAAACGCTTGTAACGTCATTTTCCGAACACGTACGTCCTTGGAAACACAAAAAATGAACAGTGCGCTAAAAAATACGGCCCTGCACAAATTTTCAGCCACTTGCGACTAAATAACGAGGAGTTCCATCGATATGAAATAAAAAGAATGGCAACTTTGGAAACGCAAAGCTCACTCATCAGGCGTTTTCGGGCATATGTGTAAAGGAAAATAAGTCATATTTTGAGCCGAAAAATCGATTCTGAACGTTCAGTACGTTAACTTCCGGACACCCGGTATATTCTGGAAAAAATCCACGACTAAAATATGATTCACAAGCGCCGAATCCGAGTTTGAACTTTCACTACGCCAAGAATAAATATAATTTTGAAACTTTTGATCAAGTATTCGTCAGAATAGCAAAAACTACACTCAAAAATTATGATGCCAAGGTTCATAATCACTGATATCTTCACAGATTATTGACTTATCTCTGCTTGGAAAAAAAGTGAGGATCACGAGAAAAAAGAAAGCAAAACTAAATTTTTAAGCAACCGGGGATTCGAATTGGAAACGTACAACTGGGAGCTGCAATATTATTATGTTGTTCATTTTTGACAAGAAGAAACTCCACTTACAGGGGCCGTTCATAAAATACGAAACGCTTTGGAGGAGGGGGCAGGGCTGGGTTGAGAACAACATCTGATCAATTTGTTTTGATGTGTTAAAGGATTGGAACCTACGTGACAATAAAATTATGGGCTGGAAAGCGAGGGAGGGGGTTCGAAACATCCCGATTTTATCGTTACGTATTTTATGAACGGACCCTCTGTTCACCAGAATTTTCCTACTTTCTTCTAAACAATGTTAATTCTCGAAAAACGAGTTCGAAGTTGCGTCATTTGAGCTCAAATTCATACACGCATCTCCGAGGAGGCTCAGATTGCGCGGCGTCTGGGAATATTCTTCTGATCGTGGATTCAGTCTTGAGCGCAGGTTGCCTCAGCCTCTGTGCAGTTGGACTGTGCATTTGGGACTACTATTTCCAGCTCAGTTTAAAAACACCGTATACATATACAGGGTGTATACTAAAACAGGCTGGTCAAAAATAAGTACTTTAACAGCACATTCTCGAGAAATTCAGTACCTCCTCCAACAGAAAAATTACGTACATTTTCAGTACCTCCATTTGACGAAATTAGAAAAATTTCAAAAATTTGAAACTGCGACTAAAATGACAAAAAGTTTTAAAAAATTCCGGATCTTTCTGCGGAAGTTCTGCACTTATTCAGTACTCCCGGACCGCCCTTCAAAAATCAGTACTATTTTCGGTCTTTCCGAAAATTCGGGATTAGTAAACAACCTGATATACCATTAGTTCAACAACAAACATACGTGTTCTTGCGAAAGAAGCAGAAGTTGTAATTTCTAATTTCAAGGTGTTGTCCATTTCATATCAAAATACGCCTGAACAGACTGATATGACTGAGGCTACTGCGGGTTCATCGTTAAAATCAATAGAAAATGTTCTTATGACAAGAGACCGTAGTCAAACTATTTCTCCAAAAAATCAGGAAAGAAGAAAGAAAACAAAATGTATCGTACAATGGTACGATTGTGCAAATAAATAACGCTCTTCTAGTAATTGCCTTGAGGACTGAGGATGAAGCGGCTGAAATATGTCCATTAGTCAATGGTTTTCATTTTGGAAAGTAACGCGCAACGATGAGCCAGGATAATGGAAACAAATTTAAAATGTTTTTTGAAACAACTCACCGGGAAGATTTTCTTATACTTAACGAGCAACCCCAAGGGCAAAGCTGAACGGATCGAGATCGGATGATTTTCAAACAAGGGACGGCAAGAGACGAGGTTAAATCCCAAGTAATTCCATGAGTAAAAGGGGAAATGTGAGCTTATGAATAAGTTTGGCCCAAAGAATACACAGATTTATCGAAGGCTAAAGAATGACACCGTGTGCCTGCGAACTGACGATTTTCCAGGACAAAGAAGAGACCATCCAAATTTTATGATTTGATTTTGCGGCTAGGTTTGCAATTTTATAATACATCACTGCGTCTGTACAGTGCTCTCGTGCGGAATTGGTAAGAAACAAAAATGTCCGTTCGCATAAATAATAATTTAAGAATGGAGAAAAGTCGCTAACTCATTCTCGCCAAATTGCCGCTAAGGCGGGTTTGATCCTTAGCCCTCGATATGCCTTTTTAAGTCTTGTCTTCGCTCAAAAAAAATTTCCGCAATGTGCGCACTTGAGTGCAACTTCACCGGTAAAAACCAACTCTGAAACGTCAGAGAGCTTTTGCACGGACTTGAGTGGTTTTACATCGGTGTATATCGTTAAAGGAAATATTCCACCCTTCTTCTGCGTAAAAGAACGGGAGCAATGGGGGCATTAGAAGGGTTTGTCAACTGTGTGCACCAACGAATAAGAAGTCCATTCCTTTCCTCAGCAAAACAGCGTATACAATGAGCTTATTTGGATGATTCTTCAACTGAATGTGATCGGAAGTACCGATTGAGGATGCTCGTAACACATAAAATAGGATGCCCAAAGATTGCACTTGAAAAGTTTCACAAATCAGTGCACAAAGTGAGACGCCAGATTACTTTTCCGAGTAAAAAAGCCAGTGAATGATCGCACTAAAAAGGATAATCAGCGCAGTGAAGCAATAGATGAGTCGTCAGGTGATTTTTCCGAGTAATGAGCGTATGCAATGCTCGGATTTGAATGGTTTTACACCGGTGTGCGCCAACATATGAGATTTCACGTGACCTTTCCGCGAGAAAAAGCGAACGCAATGCTCGCATTTGAGGGGTTTTCACCGGTAAGCACCAACATGTGACGCCTCAGATTACTTTTGTGACTAAAAGAGCGTGTGCAATGCTCGCATTTGAATGGTTTTTCACCGGTGTGCACCAACAAATGAGATGCCAGAGTACTTTTGTGAGTGAAAGAGCGTGTGCAATGCTCGCATTTGAATGGTTTTTTACCGGTGTGCACCAACATATGCTTTGCCAAATTACTGTTCTGAGAAAAAGAGCGAGTGCAATGCGAGCATTTGAATGGTTTTTCACCGGTGTGCACCCACATGTGAGATGCCAGCAGACTATTCCGACTAAAAGAGCGTGTGCAATGCTCGCATTTGAATGGTTTTTCACCGGTGTGCACCAACAAATGAGTTGCCAGAGTACTTTTGTGAGTGAAACAGCGTGTGCAATGCTCGCACTTGAATGGTTTTTCACCGGTGTGCACTAACATGTGACGCGTCAGATCACTTTTCTGAGTATAAGAGCGTGTGCAATGCTCGCATTTGAATGGTTTTTCACCGGTGTGCACCGACATGTGAGATACCAGATTATATTTATGAGTATAAGAGCGTGTGCAATGCTCGCACTTGAATGGTTTTTCACCGGTGTGCAACAACATGTGACGCCTCAGATTACTTTTCTGAATGAATGAGCGTGTGCAACGCTCGCATTTGAATGGTTCTTCACTGCCGGTGTGCACCAACATATGAGTTGCCAGAAAACTTCTCCGAGTGAAAGAGCGTGTGCAATGCTGGCATTTGAATGGTTTTTCACCGGTGTGCACCGACATGTGAGATACCAGATTATTTTTCTGAGTATAAGAGCGTGTGCAATGCTCGCACTTGAATGGTTTTTCACCGGTGTGCAACAACATGTGACGCGTCAGATCACTTTTGTGAGTAAAAGAGCGTGTGCAATGCTCGCACTTGAATGGTTTTTCACCGGTGTGCACCAACATATGAGATTTCAAATTACTTTTCCGCGTGAAAAAGCGAGTGCAATGCGAGCATTTGAATGGTTTTTCACCGGCGTGCACCGACATGTGACGCGTCAGAGCACTTTTCTTAGTAAAAGAGCGTGTGCAACTTTCGCATTTGAATGGTTTTTCACTGATAAGCACCAACATGGGACGCTCTTCCGATAACGCCTCTTCTTTGATTTCCACACTGGTGTGCAGAGTGGCGACCGAGTCATCGTCCTTCTCGTCCACTTCTTCTTTTATTTCGTTTAAAATTAGGGCTTGAATATTCGATATAGGAGGAATTTCTGAAGGAGGTTCTTGGAGGGAGAAAAGAGCACCCTCACCTTGGTAGAAGGAGGCATGATCAGTCGCATCACTTCCAGATGCATAGATGCGGGAATCCGATGGGTTCCATTCACGTTTGATGGCTACACCGTCATACTCAGGGTTGGTTGCCGGCAGGGACGTTCCATTCTCAACAGTGAATTCACACTTAACGTCTCCGTTTTGAGCTGTATCCTGCAGTTGCTTCGCCGACTTCATTCTTGCGGTATCATTCACTAGCCACCCTGGACAGAGGTAAATTTAATCGAATATCAATTCAACGGTTGGATTTTTAGTTGTTTGCATACGTGAATCATTTCACGGCGTGAAGATATAATTGCTGAACATTGCAAAAAAAATAGCAACACCATCGAAAAAGTCCGGCCGCATTACCTGGTTTAATCGGGGACTACGACAAAAATGTGGCGAGTGATGGTTTAGAATTCCCGATAAATTTTGATAATGATCGATTAAAAATAACTGAATACGAGGAAATCCTCGTCGGTCATACACGGAGAAAAATAGAACGGTGCTCAGCACCAACTTTGCTCTAATATCCGCCGAATGTGGTGGACTGCAGGAAAACATGTCACCTGGCAGAGGAAGTTTGTGCGAAAGTACAGGAGGAATGTGCTGGGGACAAGTGTTGGCTGTGCCCAAGTGTGGAATGGAATGTTAGAGCAAAATCATCATCCGTCCCATGTGATGAAGTCCATCTTCTGGTACTCAGCGCGGTTCTATTTTTCTCTAGTAATATAATTCCGCATTATTTTTACATCCCTCGACTAAAGAGTACACCCCATCTTTCCCACCTGTACACAATTCTGTTGGGTAGAAATACGTCCATTTTTGGACGTCATGTTCGACACGATATGTTAACGCCAAGAAATGGTTTCAAGAGTTGACGTTCAGTAGTTTTTTGACTGTAATATTCTGAGTTCCGTGCTTTTTTCAACTTTCCCCGCGAAGTTTTCCAGAGCCAGAACCAGGAGTGGATTATTCCACGTTACTTGAATACGACAGTGATACGCAAAGTTTCACGGGACAAATCTGATTGATTTTGCTAGGTACGAGCGAGTTTGAATCAAGAGGAACTGTCTCCAATTAGACCTTAGTCCTGAGACCATTAGAAAACATGTTTGACGGTACTCATGACACAGTAAAAAAGGGTCCTTTGAATAGAGGTACGTTGGAATGGAGAAAACATGTGTGTCCGCAAAAACTAGATACATCGTCATCTATAATACGAAATTGCGCAACGCCTTTGCGGTGTTTCAAAATCTCTGATCCTATTCCATTCTGCCGAAGGGAAACAAGTCAACTGTTTACTATGGCTTGAAATTTATAGGTGGTATTTTGCTGATAGACAAGATAGGACAAGGCGGTTTTCAAGAAACTGTTGACTAGTTTTCCACGAGAAAAATCAAGTATGACAGGAAATCTTCAACATCGCAAATCGAGATACGCGGTTTAGCACTGTGGCCATCCATATGGACCGAATTTCGTCATTCTGCACTCGACAGTGCATGTAGAGACTCAAAGTTACTTCCTGCGGACCACGGTCCACTTTCAGCCCAGCAGCGATTCTTGAAGTTGGCAACACTGTTCTACCTCCATTGAAATACATGTGAAACAATCGATTCTTGGCGCAGCAGCCTGCCTCGCGTGAAATCGATATTTCCAATGGATTTGAATCGAGGAAAACAGTGTTGCCAACTTGCCATATCGCCAGTGACGGTACCCACGTCGGAGCAAGCTGCTAACTCACCAACGAGTACTTTATTAAAACAGGATGCAGAAGATTAATTTCATCGGGAGAGGGAGACTTTCTCTCATAGGAAGTGGGCATTACTATAATTCTGGGTACAAACAGAATGAACATAATTCAACTCCTAAGGATTTCACGCACCTTCCATATCCATGACCAAATGCAAAACTGCGCAGGTATCTCAATCTCAATTAAGACGTTTAAAGATCCGTGATTTTGTTTTATTTTATCTTCAAGTTCGATCTGTGGAGAGGGTATAAGAAAATTATTGACGTTTCTGAGTGTAAGTATTGTGCTAGCGCCGTCAAATGACATGGAGCGCGGAACGATCAAACTCCGGAGTGGGTAGTGTGGTATCCAGCGAAAATGAAGGAAATTCATAGCCTAACGCCTCTCTCAACTTGGTGACGTTTATGAACTTAGGTATTCTTGAAAATGTGGTCGTATTGAGACGTGCGACTATTCGAACTCCGGAGCAGGCACGTGGTATTACGCAGAAAGGAAGGGAAACTTTGGTTGTATGGATGCCTCAAATTACCGACGTTTATAGATATTATGCTCGCGTCCTTATCAAGACGCTCACTTTTCACGACATCGTGATGAGAATTTGCAGGGAGCAAAATCTATCCGATCACGAGACCGCGGAGCGCGTGACTGGTGAGAAAATTACGTAGGATGTTTCGAAACTGATCAGCCGGAAATGGTAGTTTCTAATGGGCCTGTTGCATGCAAGAGATACAGCCGCGCGAATAGACTTTTTAGAGGTTCAATGACACGAAAATTACGATGGTCACATTAAAAAAGTCTGAAATACACTCCTTACTGCGCAATTTGCGTTGTTAGGAACGCGCTTTTTCAAATTTCCCGCGTCTGGGGGCAGTTTTCTAATCACCGGAAACGAGCAAACGGCGGGCTCGGTGATTTCCGGAAGATGTCGAGTCGTTGTTGTTGTTGTTATTCTTTCCTTCAGTTTGTTTACAAACCCAACGTGATCTCTTATAGCGGTCCATATACGCTTTATGCGGTAACCAAATCGATCAACTTTTAAATATCCAACGCAATCCTTCTACATTCCATTTCACGGTATCACGAGCTCCGATTTTTAGGTTATGTTGTCAGTTTTAGTTGACCGGAAATAGCCGCGAGTTGCCGTTAATTGTTTCCGTTAGAAAACTGCCCCCAGACGCGGGAAATTTGAAAAAGCGCGTTCCTGACAACGCAAATTGCGCAGTAAGGAGTGTATTTTAGACTTTTTTAAAGTGAGCATCGTAATTTTCGTGTCATTTAACCACTAAAAAGTCTATTCGCACGGCTGTATCTCTTGCATGCAACAGGCCCATTGCGAGTTGTACTTCCTAGTAACCAGAATCAGCCTAACTGCATTTCAAGATACCGAATTGTCTCCCACGTTTTATTTTTTAACAGGACTGAACACGTAAAAACTTTCTGGGGATTTGCCCTTTATAAAGGACCCCTTACTCACAACATTTTAAGGTCTCTGTGTAGCTTAGTTTTGTGTCTCAAAAATTAAACATGGGAGAAAGTAATGGGCAACATTCAATGTTGATAGGCATTATTCTAATTAAATTGGTCCACTCCGCTCTGTATAACGGAGATTTATTCAAAAGAAGAGACGCTGCATATGAATAAATTGCGAACGTTCATGCTCGTCATACTACTGGTACCTATTTGAGACTTACAGACAGTTGTAAAATATTGACTGAATGCAGTAAAATTATAAAGAAGTAGAATGTGCTGTAGAGCGGGATACGTACGTTGCATTTCTGTAAACGATTCTTCGTAGGTGCATTCATATGCAAGGCCAGGTAATTACTTGAGGCAAAGTTATGGATCTTAATTTTTAAAACGTGGCTATTCTTCTATCAGCTGAAAAAACCAGGATCGGGGGCATTTGTGTCCTTTTTTCATAAAAATTGGGGACATTTTTACCAAAATAGACGAGAGAAAAGCCGCGAGAGAAAGCAACATAGAATGAAAAATAGATAATCTCGACACCGAGCTTCCGAAGTTTCGGATCGTTCCCGCCGAAAGACGCCAGCGAGGGTTCGAATTTTTGCCACCTCGCGCGCAACAAAAGCACCGCGAACATTTGAAATTTTCGGCGGCTGATTTTTGTCAGTTTTTCGGGACCTGAACATGAAAATCAGGGACATTCGGGGAGATCAGGAACATCTTTCCAGAATCGGGGACATTCGGGGACTTATGGGACTTTCGGGGCTTCAAAGTTAATATTAAAGTGATTTTAATATTGATTTGGTTATGTATACTCCTCATGTCGAAAATAAGAGAGAGAAAAAAGATAAATCCAAATTTAATACTTCATCCTTGCTGTTATTTAATTGTAACAATAGTAAATAATAAAATACCGCACAAATGAATTTACTTTTCTTGACTGTTTTTATAAGTCTTACGCTAGGAACATAAACTGTTTTTGGGCTTGATTCACACATATCGATGCTAATCAAAAAATCAATTTCGAAACTCGCAAAACTATAATTAATGTAAAATTAATTTACCATGTTTAAACAATTTAACATCAAAACAGTTCGATAGGAATGACGGCAAGGTGACATTCTTACGTGAAAATCAACAAAACACATCTCCCAACTCAAATATTATAACAGCAATCATGCAAAAAATCCTGCACTATCTACATTTACAGTTTTTACATTAAAAACAGACAAAAATGCAGAAAAGTACAGCGTTATTCTCTAATTTCAATGACAATTTTTTAAGTTACAAAACGGAAATCTTTTTCAATTTACAAATTTTCTTGCAAGACAAAGGATGCCACACAGCTCACTGGAAGGTTCTCGGTCTCTCAATGATAGGTTGTGGATTGACAATTTATTTGTGTTTGTTTTCTTCCGGTTGAAAAGGAAACTGTTCGATTTCAATACATCCTCGTTTTTTGATGGTTGACTTTTATTTTTTGTATTCAGCAACGACCGATCTCAGAATTAAAAACAAGAGCGCCAGTTCCTTAGCGCGTATCCCCGTAATTCGAAACGAAAACAATAGAGAGCGCCACCTTCTTCTTGCTGCTCGTAACCAGTAGTCGTAACCCCGTGTCAACAAACCTCGCAACAACAACATCAATACCTAATTAAATCAATCATGTTTGTGCAGTTTTATTATATTATTATATTATATTTGTGTTCAGTACCTCGTAAAAAGGAACCGCGAAAGATGGAATCTGCCGGGATTCTAAATTCATCAACAACAAACATATTAGTTTCTAATAAAAATCCAAGTGTCAGTGCTTGCGTTTTAGCTTCGATAATTGTATGTAATGTAAGTACCTGATTAGTTGTCTAATTTTGCTTGGTGTATACCTACGGAGTAATTTTGGAGATAGTATATGATGCATTATACAATGCATTTGAATTCCTAGGTTTCATCTGACTCAAAGTGTTCGCTGCTATTATCTAGGAGCGTACCGACTCATTCATTGGAGAATTGAGCGTTTCCTATCGGCCCCTCTGCAATTATGAGATTAGTCCAAGGACCCTTTAGGAACTTAATTAATGACTCAGGTGGTGCTTTTGAGCCAACTTTCAAAGAATTAAAGGCATTTTTTTAAAATCTACTGTCCATGAGCTCTCCGTCTGACCGAAGTGCTCTCCTCGCTACATGACGCGTAACCCTTCAATTTTTAGTTTAGTCCAAAGACCTCACAGGAACTTAAATTAATGAACCAGGTGGTGCTCTTA